CGTTGCTGTATACCGTGCCAAAGATCAAAAATTTCCCGTCATGTGACTGCACCATTGGCTACATTTGTTAAACCTTCTGCGCGATTCGAACACATTCATTTAGACATAGTAATTTTACCGGTGTCCGAAGGTTTCAGGTATTGTCTGACCTGTGTAGACAGATATACGCGGTGGCCGGAAGCCTTCCCCATGGTCGATCAGGAGGCCCAAACCGTAGCTCGAACCTTTTATGACGGTTGGGTAGCGCGGTTTGGTGCTCCCGTACGGATTACCACCGATCAGGGTAGGCAGTTCGAATCCAAATTATTTTTTGCGCTGAACAATTTAATTGGATCCACACGCCTTCGCACAACGGCGTATCACCCAGCGGCCAATGGGATGGTAGAGCGTTTTCACCGACAGCTCAAGTCGGCTATAAGGTGCCACGGATCCGACAAGTGGACAGAAATACTTCCGACGGTTCTACTCGGTATTCGTTCCGCCTGGAAAGAAGACCTCGGCGCTACCTCAGCGGAATTAGTTTATGGCGAGCCATTAAGATTACCGGGAGAGTTCTTGTCTTCGCATTCAGCGGAAGGCACAGAAAATGCTTCCGATTTTACTAATAGACTACGCAACCATTTTTCTAAATTGAGTCCCTCTAATGCATCACGCCATTCCGTTAATCGTACATTCGTTTTCAAAGATCTTAGCAGTTCAACACATGTTTTCATCCGAACAGATTCAGCCAAAACTATTTTACAACCCGCTTATGAAGGTCCATACGCCGTAGTGCGCCGAGGCGAAAAAACATTTACAATAAACATTAGAGGTAAGGAAATAAATATATCAATTGAAAGGCTAAAGCCTGCTTATATGCTAGCAGAAAACAGACCGGATCCCGTGAGCATAGAAAATCAGCCGGTCACACAAACAAACGTACCTGACAATGCGCCGGTTATACAGCAACGTGTCACGCGTTCAGGTAGACGCGTACGTTTTCCCGAGCGATTTCAAATTACGCGGTAGTACTTAAGGCTTGCGCATTATTATAATAAGTATCATATACCATTTATTTTTTTCCATCACTTTTATGTACTTTCATGTATTTTTAGGTATTACGTATTATATATTAAACTCCATGTAAATTCCTTTTTTTTTCAACTCTGTTCAAATACTGTAATGTAAATCTTAGTTAGGATAACGTATTTTATATAATAGAGTAAATGGTAGTGGTAATGTAGTCGGTCAATTTTTCGTAATTGTGCCAATTACTGGCAGGGGGGTAGTGTGGCGGCCAAGGCACCACATACGCCTTAGCCGTTCGAAGCCGCTACAATGTATGGTTGCACACGAGACGATGGTTGCACACGAGACGACCAGAGCCGCGTGAGCCGAAAAGCCGTTGTCGTCGTCTCTGACCGTCTTTTGTTTTTGAAGGCCTCTTGGTACGGTGGCGATGATCGTACCAGAGAGTCGAGCGTAACCCGCACCACGAGTCACGTCGTTGTACGACAGCAACAATAAAATTGTGCGGAACGGAACAGGGCGGAGTCATTACCTTCCCGATCCCACAGTTAGATTAGCAACAGAATCATAGTTAGAAACGTTACTGTATTACTTATTGAATTCAATAAACACCAAATACACAACCATTAATTTCCTTCAAACGAAGGTGGTCCTTCGAGTTTGTATTAGTCGGCACACACGTGCAAACTCAACAATTTCCGAACGAGCAACACTCGACCACGGAAAGAACATCCGGTATAGGTGATAGGAGGAGCACGGGAACGTCCCCGGGCGCAAAGTCTCCGCCTGTGAGTCCACCGCCATTCCTCGTATTATAAGCTGGAGCACAGGGGAGGTTTCCCACACCTCTAATGGCGGGTATAAAAAGGAGCGTCGCCCTAAGTACTTAGAGAGGAAGCGTAAAAAAGAAGTTAGAAAGTAGAGGAAAAGAAAGAAAAGAACGATCGTCAGGACTATGGTCCTTTCTGCGGGTTTAATCGTTGCGATAGAGGTTGGTTAACAGGCCGCGATAATTATACTTTAACCATTGTACATACACCACAGAGCCGTTCAGGGGCTTACCTTCGCTAATAAATTAAAGTGCTTAAACGTTAATGACGATCAGTCAATTCTTTTTCCTTATACCATTCCCCGAACGGTAACCGCAAACCCGTTGTTCCGATCACCGTCAAATTCGCCGACGCGCGCTTCTTTTGAATCAACCGGCACCAGCAGACACGCGCTACGCGGAGTTCGGGCTTCGCCAATCAGGAATGAGGTCTCAGCGGCCAACCCGCAACGCCGCCTTACTGCAGGGAACTTCACGCCGCCACCTGGGCGTCGCCTCCGAAAGAAACTGCAACACCGGCAGAGATGCCAGAAAAGCACCGCCGGGTGCACACGCACACATGCCAGATACGCGTACGTGAGCTCGTGGAGTTTCGGAAAGTCGACAAAGGCAAACTGACGCATGCTCTCTTTCTCGATTCTCCGAAGCTGCCCGAAGTAATTTCGGATCGCCTCGTGGGAGTCGAGAGAGAAAGGCTCACATTTGCCTTCTCGCTCTAAACAACTGAAATCCGACCTCCCGTCAACGGCATATGATTTGGATTCTCGAGCCGAGATTCTCGACTGCCCAGGCATTTTTACTTTCCGACCTATGTAGGCGCACATAAGCAAAGTACCCATAATGAAAAAAAAATTTTGTAAAATTTATTTTACGGAAATACACGTTTTAAGACCTCCTGATCATATTTTAATTATTGAAAAAAAAGACATTTTTTTTTATTCCCATGTATGAGCACACATATGTATATTATTAATACGATTGAATATAAATAGCTGAATGAATTTAAATGAAACTTTACATTTAAGTTTTATGTTCTCATTTCAAAGGCGTGTGGACGGATTCAAATACGTGAACACTAATCGTAACGATGTAATTATATTATTTAATATTTACTAACTATTTAACATAAAGAACATAAAAGAAAGACATAAAACGTAAACGTAAAAGATCATAAACGTAAAACTGTGATTGCTCTCGACTAACGTTCGATACAGAGTGACGTTCCTGCAGTCAAAGTCGACCCTTCCTTATTCCTATCTTATAATAATGATCTAAACAAAACGCACGTTCGAGACGCAGTCTCTAAAACGTATTTCAGCTTAAACCTAAACACCTCACTCGATACCTACTCTAGCTTAGACTAAACACTCCTATCGACGCAAACGATAACGGTTCTCCTAGCCACACACATACACTCCTTACAGATTATACCTCTTGTTTCATAGTTGTTCCGATATATAGGCATAATGTATAAAAAATCTTTTAAATGTTTCATATAAATCTTAGGACGAATTAAATTTTATATGAAAAAAATTATATAAACTTTTTCTCTATCTTCTCTAGAAAAGAAAACATTAAATGAAATCTTATACATTACATGCTTACTTAAATCGCATTGAAAACGAATACCACAAATGTTTTAGAATAATGTGCAAAATGTGATTGCGATTTTCGCTAAGACAAATTGAAAACTCGGTTCTAACAAGAAAAAGTTGGAATGGTACCAGGTTTTGGGTTAGGTTTTACTTTGAGATATTATTAAAGTTATTACAGGTACTTATCTTCAAAAATAGAAATACGTTCAACAATCAGCGTGGCGTGAATGACCAAGGTATTTGCCTGCAAGTTCCGAGCTTCTTCTGCTCTGCAGGTTCAAACCCTGCCAAAACAAATCCTTTTCTTTTATTTTTTCAATCATATTTTAATCGTACACTAAATGTGACATTATATTTTTGTCTGACCTTCGAATATTTTTTTTTAAAGTTATATTTAACCGATTACATTTAACATATGTTATTTTCAATGTACGAAGTACATGAATCTGGATGGTACTTTTCACAAAAACAGTCAAAACATAAAAATTTCAAGCACCACGTACATTTACTGAAAGTTTTGTTTTCACAGAAATTACAAAATTTTGTATTTAACTCTGATGAAAAGGCCGCTTCATTTACATTGATAAAATGTGAACGATTTTCGGATAGTTGTACCTTGTAGCTCGTACTTTTTACCTTATACTTCAGGTAAAAAGGGATATTAGCTGGGAAAAACAGTTTTATGACATTACCTGCTAACTTATGTTACTGTTCTACAATGAAACGCTATGTTTTGTACCTTTAAAAATATTCGACTATGTCCTTTTAAAATTTAAGATACAACCCATACTTCGTATTAAACTGGCAAACGGGATCACTTTTCCTTTGTTTCTAGTTAGTTCTATTTAGTTCGTCATAACCAATTGATACGGTTATCTCAAAACAATCGAGGAAAATCATTATTAATTAATTTCTGCAATTATTAATTCTACTGTTTTGTTTATGTTATAAAAGTAAGTACTCTTCTTATTGAAAAATACCACAGCGTGTACAATACTGGTAAAGAGGGGAATCTCATTTTAATTTATTAATTTTCAATCTTAAAGTATTTTGATTTTCAAAAATCGTATTAATAATATACATATGTGCGCTCATACATGGGAATAAAAAAAAATGTCTTTTTTTTCAATAATTAAAATATGATCAGGAGGTCTTAAAACGTGTATTTCCGTAAAATAAATTTTACAAAATTTTTTTTTCATTATGGGTACTTTGCTTATGTGCGCCTACATAGGTCGGAAAGTAAAAATGCCTGGGCAGTCGAGAATCTCGGCTCGAGAATCCAAATCGTATGCCGTTGACGGGAGGTCGGATTTCAGTTGTTTAGAGCGAGAAGGCAAATGTGAGCCTTTCTCTCTCGACTCCCACGAGGCGATCCGAAATTACTTCGGGCAGCTTCGGAGAATCGAGAAAGAGGGCATGCGTCAGTTTGCCTTTGTCGACTTTCCGAAACTCCACGAGCTCACGTACGCGTATCTGGCATGTGTGCGTGTGCACCCGGCGGTGCTTTTCTGGCATCTCTGAACACCGGTAAGGAGTGACGAATGTGATGACTCGTTAAATTAACAATTTTTATAATCGGAATACCGATATAATACTAATATTTATTTCGGTTTTTGATAATATATCGATTTTCGTATAGCCTTGATGACAATACCTGTATTAAATCCTTGATTAAGACGATATGTAAGCCAATGTAAGCCGTAAGTTTATGATACCTTTTTCAATTCTCCGCTATGTGGAGCTAAATAACACGTCTTTTATACTTCATGTTTGTATTACTTCCATTGGATTCTATATTCATTGGTTTCCAGTCATTTCTCGAGCGCGTGTTGGGCAAGTCCGTGCGTTGTAAGAAATTAAATTGTGTTTTGAAGCGTTCAACGAATCTTTAAGGAAGAACGTCACGAGAAATTATTTTGAAGACAAAAGCAACGAAGTTTCTCATAAACTTGCGTACAAACTTTGCGATTAACACAATTTATCAAACGTGAATATCTAATCGAAAATGACGGCACTAATGGCGAGCGGCGATGGACGAAGTGCTCTTGGTCAAGCATATAAAGATAAAACCAAGCCCACCGATATTCGAACTAGCAACATTAATGCTGCAAAAGGTGAATAAACAATCGATGTTGAAATGCATTTTGCACTCTTCGATTTTTGTCGACTAATTTCTGTGTCTGCAACAAAAGTCTTACCTTATATAGTAATGCCCGGCATGCGTTCAATGTAATACCTACGTTGTGTCATGAATTTGTCATTTAATATTTTTCAACTAAAATACGTATTCTGTTTTTTATATGAAAACAAGCAGATAGTGATTTAGTTTACACTGTACTTATTTTTCATACATATGAAGGTTTATCGAGATTATAGGAAAAATAAATTACGGCTATGTGTTTCCTCTTTTATTATTAATATTCACTTATCAGTTAGTATCAATGCAAAGTTCTATATAAATGATTAAAAAATAAATATAACTTTATCGTATAAATTTGTAACATATATAAAAATTATAAATGAAAGTTTATATCTAAAAAATATTTATATATGTTTTAGCTGTCAGTGATGCAATTCGTACTAGTTTGGGTCCTAGAGGAATGGATAAAATGGTAAAAATATGTTGTTATATCAAAGCAATGTATTGATTTTTCTTTTATAATTACAATTTTATACTGTTTGATATTATATTTTTGTAGATAATTTATAATTATAAATAATGAGTCAGTATTCCATTTTGTATATTTAGATCCAAGCAGGCAATGGCGAAGTTACAATTACAAACGATGGCGCTACAATTCTAAAAGAAATGAATGTTGTACATCCTGCAGCAAAAATGGTAATTTTTTGTTTAATATTTGACTGCCACGTTGGTCATATATGACCAGCCATGGTTTCTCCCGTGACGCCACAGTGATCATCAGTGACCAGAGCGCTTGAACTACTTACAATTGTAAGAGTTGAATGAAAATTGACACTTAGTGCATTTTGAATGTAATCACTGATTAGAAGATACTTTGAAATAAGAAGTGCCCCATTGAGCAATTAAAAATTTTCATTAAAACATCGAAAATAAAAGATTAATTTCTATTAGATCATGCTTCTGACGGTGCACGTCCATGGCATCCTGAGCAAAACATGTGATTTCGGCGTGGCAGCCAAAGGTTTAATATTTGAGAGTTTAGAGTTTCAGAATTTATAGGAAAGCTTTTAGAATGTTAAATTATGAAATAATGCGTTTGGGTTAATTATTATGTGTTTTCAGCTGGTTGAATTATCAAAAGCACAAGATTCAGAGGCTGGAGATGGTACTACTAGCGTTGTTGTAATTGCTGGTGCTTTCCTGGAAGCTGCAGAACGTCTGTTACAAAAAGGAATACATCCTACGTTAATTAGCGATGCGATTCAGAAAGTTGCAAATGAAACTGAGCTCATATTATTCTTTATGTCCACTCGTTTTTCTGTGGAAAAGGAAAATTTGTTGGTTCAAGCTGCAGAAACTTCACTAAACTCCAAAGTATACATGATTTCACACATTTAATATATTTGATCAAATGTCCGTTAGCGAATTACAGTAACGCTTGACTATATGCAAAGTTTTACTTAAATATATGTAAAAGAAATATCCCCATTACAATATTTTTTCTTTGGTAGTTGTATGAACAAAACTCGATTAGCTAAGTTTCAAAGCAGTTATCACGTGTCTATCTGGTGACAACCATAGAAATTTTTGAATTTTATTGTATCTTCATGAAAGTATTATCAAATGATTGTAGGAGATTTCCCCATTAAAACGAGACTAAACACGACCGAATTCAGATTATTTTTAATTATATGTTTATTCAATTGTTTTTGAACAGTTCAATCATGAACGTATAATTAAAATAGTCCGAATATGGTCGTGTTTGTATTTATTTTAATCAAAAAATTTCACTAACTCATTGATAATACTCTTATGAAGATATAATGAGAAATTAAAGTTTTTAATTTGCATTAGTGGCTATCGCCTGATACGAACGTGGCATGGCTTTTTAATTTCTCGCGCGGTTGAGTCGAATTTCGTTTCTTAACCTCGAGTAAATGGAAATCTAGTTTCAAATATTTGCATATGTTCAGACACTATTATATATTTCTTTTCATTTACTTGTAATGTACAACATTTTTGTATTATGTTTTTAGGTAGTTTACCAACAATCTAGTCTCTTAGCACCTCTAGCCGTGAATGCAGTATTACGAATTACTGAGGAGGGAAACGAGAAGAGCGTCGATCTTAATGTAAGAAAATCACTGCATAAATAAAATTGTTATGCATTTTCTAAGAAAATTAAAAAAGTAGTTTCGTATCAAATTTAACAAAAAAATGCATGGTAGTTTCAGAGTAAATATTATTTATAGATTAAATGTATAATTTCTGTATTATGTTTATAGAATATAAAAGTAATAAAGAAGTTAGGCGGCACCGTTGAAGATACTGAGCTTATAGAGGGATTGATATTTACTCAAAAATGCTGTAATATCAATGGCCCAAAACGTATTGAAAAGGCAAAAATAGGTTTAATTCAATTCTGCATTTCTCCGCCTAAAACGGATGTAAGTATTCCAAGAAAAAAGGACATCTAAAATTAAAAAGTTTTAATTTTTAAATGCCAACTGAATGTCGTTTCAGATGGATCATAACGTCATCGTATCCGATTATGCTGCAATGGATCGTGTTTTGAAAGAAGAAAGAGCTTACATACTGAACATTATAAAACAAATTAAAAAATCTGGTTGCAATGTACTCTTAGTGCAAAAGTCCATTCTCCGCAACGCTATCAGCGATTTGGCTATACACTTTTTAGATAAAATCAAAGTTATGGTTATCAACGATATTGAACGCGAGGATATTTCATTTATTTGTAAAACATTAGGTTGTAGGCCAATTGCATCGTTGGATCATTTCGTCGCAGAAAATCTTGTCAATGCAGAATTATGCGAAGAAGTTCAAACTGGAAATTCTAAATTTGTTAAGGTCTGTGCAACTTATACATATTCTTACATATACTTTATAGCATGGTTGAAATACTAAATATATCAAAAATGAAACTTTAAGTAGTATGCTTAAGAAAGTAAACACTCTTTATGGGTCATGAGAGCAAACATTTTGGCATACTATAATTATAATTTTAATACAAATACAGTGTCCCACGCAATTGGAACAGGCTATATCTCCTAAACGGTTGGAAATAGAAAAATATGTTATAAATCAAAGTTAAATGGTATCACACGATGCGTAATATGCAACTAATTTTATGCACTTTTGTGCATTGGTGCATCAGAAAAATGCAACTGCACTTTCTTAAAAAATAGAAATCTACATTTTTAACTGCACTAGTCGATGTAGTTTCTTATGCTCTACATAAAAGTACTGCTACATTTAACTTCGATTTATAACATATTTTTCTATTCCCAACCGTTTAGGAGGTATAGCCTGTTCCAGTTGCGTGGAACACCCTGTATATGTACAACTACATAGTAAGTTCTCCAATTATTTATTAATTGCTTGATAATGTTTGACGATTAATTTGTTTTTCGTTGTTATTGTTTTATCTTACAAAGTGTACTGTGTTATATTTTAGTATATAAGACTAGGTGGTTCTTGAAGAAGAGCTTCGGAAAGTTTAGTGTTGGTCTACAGGGACCATAACGTTTGACGTGTTAAGGAGATTTTACATTCCTAAGCGTTCCTAGTATATCGAATAGAATAATGTTCACGAATTAATAATATGATCCAAAATAATTTTCATTTTACAGATTACGAAGATTCAGAATCCTGGACGGACTGTAACTGTTATTGTACGAGGTAGTAACAAATTGGTTTTAGAAGAAGCAGAACGATCATTACACGATGCATTGTGCGTAGTTCGTTGTTTAGTAAAAAACAGTGCTTATATTCCTGGAGGAGGAGCACCTGAAATTGAGCTTGCAGTGAAATTAGGAACGTATGCTCAAACTTTAAGCGGCATTGATGCTTACTGCGTTAAAGCTTTCGCTAATGCATTTGAGGTGAGTTGTGAATTATACAGGGTGTCCGGCCACCCCTGGGAAAAATTTTAAAGGGAGATTCCAGAGACCAAAATAAAACGACAATCAATAATATCAACTTCTTGACTGAGACTTTGTTAAAAAGTTATTACAAAATTTCAAATCATTCTGAAAAAATTATTATTGGTTGCGGGAGTCAATTACAATCATTTTTGGTGAATACACATACCCCCGAAATCCTATCCATTTTTTAAAAAAAAATTCGTGTAGGTGCTGAAATTTTTCGGTGAAAATAAATATTTCAAATCTTTCTGGAAAAATTATTTCCGGTTGCGGGGGTCAATTACAACAATTTTTAGTCATTACACATACCCGCGAAATCCTACGCATTTTCAAGAAAAAAATTCCTTACCGAAAATCTAATGTGAGGCCAGAAATGCTCTCCTGTCATGCGTATCTTTACAATGTTATAACTTCTGAACGGATTAGGGGATTTTAATGTTTCAAAGGGCGAACAACGCGTATTTTGGTGGAGAATATGTGAAAATTCCAAAAATATTCGAAAAGTTATTCCTTGACACTGCAAAATGAGAAAGACCCCATCAAAATGGTCCAATTTTCAAATGTTCTTAACTCCTACAATAGTGAATATATTTCATTGAAATTTTTTTCTGAAGTAGAGCCTATGGATACCTACAAAAAAGTATTAGACAACTTTTCTGTAGGAGGTCAAACAAAATTATTAAAAATCTAGAACGAATTTTTAAGAAAAATCGACAGGGGAAAAAATTTTTTAAATCGTTCTGGAAAAATTATTTTCGTTTGCGGGGGTCAATTACAATCATTTCTGGTGAGTAGACGTATCTCCGAAATCCTGCGCATTTTTTAGAAAAAATTCAGTACGGGCGGAACTTTAAACATTAATATCTTTTTAACGAAGCCTCCATCAAGAAATTGGTATTCTTGATTTTCGTCTTATTTTGGCCTCTAGAATCTCCCATTAAAATTTTTCCCAGGGATGCCGAACATCCTGTATACATATGTTTTTCCTTTTCCCATCTCTTGAATCACTAATTTTAAAATTTTTATTTTTGAATGGTTTAGATAATTCCGTCGACATTGGCAGAAAATGCAGGATTAAATCCCATTGCGACAGTGACGGAACTCCGGAATCGACATGCTCAAGGCGAAGCTACTGCAGGTATCAGTGTACGAAAGGGTGAGATTGCTTATATGTTACAGGAAAGCATAATTCAACCGACTTTAGTTTCTCTGAGCGCCATTACGCTTGCTTGTGAAACTGTTCGTAGTATATTAAAGATCGATGATATTCTGAACACAAACCAATAATAATATTCAATGCTAATTTTATACTCAAACTGTATTGCAAATGTTTTTTATTCATCGCGAGATGCCAATCACGTTTTGAATATATGTTCGGCTTCTAGTTTTTTTTACTATTTAATAAACTTAAATGGTTGAATCGGTCGATGGTCTTCACATTTTTGTTACTGTGTTTCGTAATAAAATTGATCTGCTTCTACAAAAAAGTTTGTTTAATATTCGCTTTTTATAGCCGGTAACATTGTTATACGGTCTTCGCTAAATTATTAAGGTTAAGGATATAATAATGTAATATTTTGAAGCAAAAATAAAAAATAATTATTGTAGTGCTCGATTATATGCAGAGAAACCCGCTCGGAGATTGACATATACATATTTGGGGTTGGGCACAAATCAATATTTCTTATCTCGAGATGAGATCCAACTGCGTATGAACTATCTAATGAAAAAAATGAATGAGATACATTAGGAATGAATGCGATAGCAAACGTGTCTTATTTTATGGATGCTCAGTCGTTGATATTCAAATTGAGACAGCCGCTAATTCAAACGAAAAATTTCTATAGTTCTTATTATATGTTCACAAGAGTATTATCGGCGAGGTTTTCTTGATTAAAATGAGTTTAAACTCAAAGTAGAAAGTAGAGGATTCTTCAGGTATGATTCGAAGAACGTGTAATTAAAAAGAGTCCGAATATAGTCACGTTTAGTTTGATTTTAATCGGGCATTCGGTGATACCGTTTTGAATTTTGCCTAGCAGCGTTTTGTTTTAATAGCTACTAACCTCTTAAGCTAAAGAAACAATGATAAAGGTGATTCTTTTGCACATATTCGGGATAAAATCGTCGTATATAGTCGAGCATTACTCTACTAAAAATTGCACTTTTTTAAAAGAAAATTATAGTTTTAATAATTCGATGAAAATGTTCATTATCTTAACTCTTCATATCTATTGGTTTATGTGGAAGTACGTATAAAAAAAAGAGTTTTAATGCTAAAAACTGGAATTAAAACACGTTAAAGTATAAAAATTAATCTAAGTTTTATTATCCACTCCTGTAGAGTGCATGGAGGTAAATTCTTACATGTTGTGTAAAAAAGGACAATTATAGATACTATGTGTTAAATTAGACTTATAATTATTCATTACTTTAAAAGTATGACTTCGTAATTATAGTCTACAAAAGACTTACAAGGAAGGGCCGCGAATGGTCAAACAATTTAGATGAAACTTTATAGGCTTGTAAAACAGCCGAAAGTAATACTTATGTATTTCTTTTTAGTTGCGGTAACTTGAGTATAAGGAATGAAACCACCTTCCAAAGTTCGTCCCCGAAAGTGCTAATTCAGAAATGGTTGGAGGTTAAAGAAAATGTTTTGACAAAAATTGAATGATTCTTGACATATGACAAGAAAATGTTCGAGACGACCAAAAATGTTTAAAAATATTTAAAAAAAAATGCATCTGCCATATTTATTTGAAAAGTTACAGCAATTGTTTATAGAACAAGAAAGATAGCATGTTTTATTCTAAACCCAACCATATACATATAGTACGTATAATATCATTAACAGTTAACATAAAAATTCCATTTATTATGCTGGCCACTCGTGGTACTAGTATCGTTCTTCCACGAGAAGCGTGCACAGCGTGTTTCCATCCCCACTCCTGTTGCAGTCCGCTGACTCACAGGTATTGGTCGAAAACGATGACGAAGATCGGTGACAACCAATCAGCGGACTGCAACAAGAGTGGGGATGTAAATACACTGTGCTTTCTTCTCAAGGAAGGACGATACTAGCAATTTATAAACCTCGTTGGCTTTGATACGAGTACCACGAGTGGCCGGCATAATAAATGGAATTTTTGTCTTAACTGTTAAAGATACTATACATATATGTATATAGTTGAGTTTAGAATAGAACATGCTATCATTTTTGAAATTTTTTTATCGACTCAAATATTTTCTTCTCAAAATATTTTTTTTCTATCTCTAATTATTTCCGAGTTAGCACTTTTGGGGTCAAATTTTGGGAGTGATTTCACCCCTTAAACTTGAGTTGCCGCAGCTAGAAAGAAATACGTAAGTATTATTTTCGGCTGTTTTTCAAGCCTACAAAGTTTCATCAAAATCCTTTAAAATTTCATCTAAATTTCCTTGTATCGCATTTTTATACATTAAAAACCATTGTTTTCATTTTTTTTTTTTAAATAGAACCATCATCCGTTCTTTGAAATTATGATTTCTAAAAGTTTCAAGCCACCGAAGAATAATGTGTCGTCATTTTATATAAATACTTTAAAATTACAATTATCTTTATTACAAAATATATACATAAGTTCTAACCTTTAAATGCAAATTTAAAACTTGTGTATTTTATAACAAATTAGACTTTTTACGAATTGTACAATTTGATTCAGACTTTATAATAATCAAGGAGAGAAATCTTTTAAGAAGCACTAATTTATTATCCTCGTTCGAAAGACGGATAAAAATTTATTGGGATAGTTAGTTGAGCTATTAAAGCTATCTACAATCATACCTATGAACGAGTATAGAAACATCTTTTGTAGTTTTCGTTCTCTATCGAACAAAACGGACTTCGTGTCAGTGTGTAAAAATTGTGATAAAAGTATGATGTACTCAAGTAAGCGTCAGACCAAATCTCTGCGCTATTTCTGGCGAGTGTGAAGTTGCGACTGCGAGTAAAAGTGGTATATCTGCTGCATCAAGATCGAGAGCATGTGTGAGATTTGCAACACTGGCATCACACAACTCTGTTACCATCAACATTTCAGCCAGTGCCTCGCTTTTCAGCCACATTTCCCTTAGTTTTGCTTCAAGAATACCTACACACTGTAATAAAAACTTTTTAAAACAAATAGTGAGATTCGTATTGAATTGAATGGGAAGTTTTTGCGTTTCTCTTTAATTAGACACAATAATATAGTCTCCATTATTCTCTATTACTCTTTTCTAACATGTCATGAATTTTTAGGTTCTATTTTTATAGAAATTTCGTTGAAATATTTGTGAATATCATTTGATCGTCGTGAACGATTAATTTCAGTAATCGACTAACATTATTATTAATCCCTTGACGTACGATTTAATTACAAGTAATTTTTCAAATATATACTTTGTAATGTTGTTTAAATTTATTCATCCATGCAATACCTGACGAATGTGAAAATCTGTTGATTTTAATATATGAAACTTTATGACAAGTATAACTTTGTCATTGTGAAACTTGATATAAAGAACTTACGAGCCAGGCTCGTCATTGTATGGTAAGGGGTTAATTGCATTAATTCTGTTTCCTAGGATATGCAAGAGCTTTCCATTCAACTCAATATATTAAAGTATCGGTATGCACATAAAGTTATTAAGATAGTTTCTATTTTCACTTACGAACATTTCACAGTGTTCAAAACAGTGTTATGTGAATTTGCATATGTCAATTAATGAAAATTAAACAATTTCTTACATGTGACGCTGAATGGTATTTTCGCCATAAGTAAACAAAGCTTTCCAGCATATTGGAAACAAGTCTTGACATTCCCACTGGTAAGGGTGCAGCATGCGAAGGTGTATTGTTTGATATTATTCCAACGTGCCAAGTATCTAAATCTGCTAAAATACAAAGTGATTCAGCAATTGGTTGATCAACAGTTGGATATCGTACACTGGCAAGACATTCTTCGCGTATGCAATACCACCATTCTCTTTCAATTTCAACTTCACAGTTATCTTTATTATCTCCTTGTCTAACAATTCTCTTTTTCCGTTTTCTCTTCTTTTTTGGCAAACCCTGTAAGACTAAACCCCATGTATAACCAGTTTCAGTGTTATTTATTGCATGCGAATCTTCACGTTTTATACTGTTTTGTAAAAGTGTTTTTGTAAATCCTGTATTTTGGTGCGAATCAGTCTTCTTCATCTTTTTCGATCTACAATTAGACATTTTATATTCTCAAACTGACCTTAAAGATTTTTAATAAATTCTATGCTATGCTTATGAAACTAACCGTGGCATGGGTAATTCTACAACGCTACTCGCTTCCATCAAAGCTTCTAAGCTATTTGATCTAGACAGTCCAACGTTTCCATCACCGACAGTACTACCGCAAGTACGCAGAACTTCAGTTGCGTTTGTCGGTGTTTCCAATACTTGTTTGCAATTGTCGTAATTCTGCGGAGGTACATAGCCTTGACCATTGCACCTCTGACAAAATCCTAAAGACCCTGCTGTCATGCTTGAAGGTGTGCCTGGCGGTGACTGTATACTCTTAGAGGACTCCGGGAAGTTTCTTTGAATAATCTTTCTCAGTACACCTTCTGGCAATTGCGAGGATGTACTTGGCACTCTTGTAAACATATATGAACATTGACAACTATGACCAAGTCGCGGTCGTGGTATCGATTTAGTAGATTTTTCTTCTTCGCCGAGCATGAAAAAAACATGTGAATTTTTTCTTTCGTTAGCCATGCTCTGACCAGTGTCAAAATCTGGCCTACTAGAATATAATTTTAGCGTGTCGATTGATGTGTCGTATCCTTCGAACGTGTTCATTTTAGTATTCATGAACATCTCTTCGGTTTCGTCATCCTCTAACTTCTTTTCGAAATTCCGCAATGGAAATTCAGAATAATGTTGCGTATCAGTCTTGGCCACATCAATATCCTGCGATGCAATATCACTAACTATTATTTTAACTTTGCTGGATGCACAGGTCTTCTCATCGTTTGTTGTTTTTTCATTTTCGTCGTTGGTACAAGGAAATTCTTTCGGGACTAATTTCGTATCTCTTTCGAATACTAACGGTTTCAGCGTGAACGAATCAAGATTCGACTCCATTGTAGTAGTACGCTTAAGTAGGCTAACAGATCCTTCTGCTCTTAACTCGTCAACGGTGTACTGAGGGTAGGAACGTTGCAAGAAACTATTACCTCTTTCTACGTCATATGGATGCTCTTGTACTGGAATTTGTTTGCGAGCAAATGTTCGCGATGTGCGTCGAGACGTCAAAGTGTCTCGATCGTTGCATGTTACTTTCGTATTGAATAAATGCGGACGCTTTATTCTCGCTTGTTCAATGAGGCTCGCAGCTTTGTGAATATCTTCTTCGGTAACGCAACAATATTCATAACGTTTTTGTACAATCCCACTGCGAATAAAGTATGACAAGAAGGATAATACGGAGTTAATTAAATCGACTTTTTGAGGATCTCCTGCGACAACAGTATGTGCTACTCTAATTGGATTACCCAATGCACCGTACAAATCACCCAGTTGAGCCCACAGAGGATTACAGGGATACCAGGAACCTAATTTCTCCATCTTAAATAGATATTGTATTGATATACGGATTGTTTTGCTAAACGAAATAAATTACCACGCGCATGTACTATAGCGAATAATTTATAATTACCAATTGCCGATCATGAACAGGCAGTGTAGTGTATATCCAGCCAAGGTGATATGTTAAAACAGCAGTTACAACAGTACTTAAAAAACTAAAACACACAGATGTTGAAATTGTGTTCACACCAATCCTCTATTTGTATACTTACAAATTGGTTGATTTTGTATCGATGTTTTCGAGTAACTGACACATTTGTTGCAAGCTATAGTGCAATGTATTCATTTTGTGCTCTATTCTCACTGAATTAAGTAGTACATCATGCCACAGTAAAGGCGTCCGCAAATTCAGCCTCGTATTAACATTCGTAAGTAATCGAAGCAATGAGATAATAAATGGGGAGGAAGATCTGTACAGCCGTTCGGAGAGCTGCATTCCTTTGTTCTGGGCGCTCACGTTACCCGCTTCGATGCAAAAATATCGTAAACGGTCTAGCATTCCTTCCAGTAGAGCCATATGCTCCAAAAGACAAGCTTCGATTCGTCTGTAATTCAAGTACAAATAATGATTATGGTTTCACATGTTTTAAATACAAAATGGAACACTAAGGGATTCATTATTTAAGCATTTGTTGACAAACGTTAACTAAGATCAAACCTTTCGTGGCCTTTCGCCAGTTGCACTAGCATTGTTAACCCAAGTCTTGTTTTATGACGCTTGACGAGACTGTCTTTATTATCATTTCCATTTTCGCTCCAGTATTGCAGCCCAAAAGCATCGTCCGAATCCGATCGTGCAAGTGACGTAGATACTACACGTAGCCACCTTCGGCGTAAGCTCGAAAGGCTACCGATACCTGATGATCCATTGCTTTCCAATGATTGCGAACCTGGATTATCATCATGTTATATTCCGATCAGTGAACATCTTCTGGCAATGAATCATCTCTAACTTGGCGTGAACTTACTGCCCATCGGTAGCGGTATATCTATGTCCCACCCACTGCCGGTACTAGAGCAAGTGGAATTTTTTCTTGGACCAACGTTCAATTCGGACCCTGACAAATTCCCGGAACTTGGCCGAGACACTGGAAAAAATGTCCTATTTAGAATGAAAAACGAAACTGAACCAATAACTACACGTCTCCCAAACAGTATTATCTATTTTCATAAATAGTAGAGCCAACAGTTCTTAATCTTTTTTTTCTACCTTTTTTGGCAGTCTAATGGAGCTTGTGAGCTTTTCTATGTCATGTTCCTGAGAATAACGATATAGGGTCAAAATTACTTATGCTGTTAGTCTCCTATGGATTTTTTTATTCTTTAGTGTATTTCTACCGAGTACAGTTCATAAGATGCTCTACTTACATTTAAAAGAAATAGTTATTTAGAAATTATTTCATTAGGAAAAATTAATGTTGAATGACATTAATATAATCGTGTACAAAATCGTCGTATAATTGTATTCAAAGAAATATTATTGAATATTTTGATATTTTTCAGGAACTACTACTATTATTCTGTGATGTGATTGGAAAAGTATTAAGCAGTAAATGATTAGAACAATGAATATAAATACAGAATGGGGTATTTGAAACAAGTCACCTGGATAATTCGTATATTATTACAGATAAAAAAGAATGTTTTGAAACGATATTTTTTATTTCCCTTTTAATAGAGGCTTGTAAAGCAAATACAACGATCTACGTTTCAAGGTTATTCAGGTCACTCAAGGACAGTTACAACAAAAAGTACTTTGTCTCGAGGTACAGATATAACAGATATAGTTAACAGATAAGTTCAGTACTTTCAATCTTTACATTTCAAGTTTTACTTTAACTGTTGGAAATGATGACCTTTAACGGTGATACGTGCTCTAAAGCGGTTTGGTATAAATATTTTGTTTCTTCATGTAAAGCATCATGGTAGTTTTGAATAAATTTTGGAAGTAAGAACTCTTGCGTTGATATAGATTAGTATAAGAATACTATCATAAATATAATTTGTACATTATGGAATGTTATTTATTTATATATCTTCTAGCATTGGAGTATATGCAGGTTAGGTTATAGCATAACAAATCTAGAAGATGCCAAGTAGAGAAAGATACGAAAGACTGTATAAAAAAAGGTTGTGCTGCAGTAGACCAAAATAAAATCCGAAATGCAATAACATGCATATAAAACTGCATTAGAGCAAGTTGCGTTCAAGGTTACCAGTGCAAATGTTTAGAGTATCTTTCTTTGTCATTGCTCTTTAGTGACATTGAATTGTAGGCCATTATATTTGTCATATAAGCCTTTAATTCTTCCACCTGGAATGAAGAAATGTCATCACCCTATATCATTCATAAAATTAAACAGCTCCTACTTCAAACATATTTTTATATTTTTTAAAATAAACAAGTTATTCAGGTGATTTTAAAGACCTGTCTTATATATTGCTAGTGGTCACAGCATTTTTAAATATTATTTTAAAACTTAATACATATTTGTTTATACGCTTATAACGATGGAGACTAAAAGATTAGATTTTACACTGCGCTAAAGGAAGACTTTATATAAGCTGGTAAAATGTTCACACATAATAGTTATATTTGTTTATGTAAGAACTTATTATAAACTAGTATATTCACAATGATGTTACGAAACAAAATCTATTTCAAGTATACTGTCAAAATTTTTCCATTATTGAAAAGGCGAATGCACACTGACATGAATGCCCAGACACTTTCGATTATTGAACTGTATGTCTCAGGATTTAAGAATAATGAAATCAAATTTTACTACGCTATTGTCCAAATTTGATAAATAGTATGTCATTGTATATCGTATTAACACTCTTTTACATTTGAATGGTCTGTAGGCAAAATAATAATACACTGCTGTGAATTAAAAACTGTGATGTTCCAAATCTGGTGCAAAACTGAATCTATCAGTATATATCAATATGAGCGAATAAACAAATATTAGAAATGTTATAAAATTATTTTAATATATCGTGATCACTAACAATACATTACTTATTTTTGTTTTTGACATTATCCATTGAGTACGATAATAACTAATAATTATTGTGAATCATATTGTTCAGTTATACTCCCCATTTAAGCTTCTTAAGAGGCTTTCCTTGTGTCTTCGGCGAAAAAAATCTTTTACAAGTTCTTAATATTTAAAAACTCTATAATAGTAAGTTGAAATTTAATAAATTGATCAAGATATGAGCATTTGAACAAAGTAGTTTTGTAGTAAAAATATATTTTAACTGGTGTAAACATTGAGTTTTTTTCTGAATTAGGATTATTTGAATGTGTTAGAAATTTTGTTTATAATGTAAAATTATGGGATAAAACTTGTAATTAATTCGTTTTATTTCTTCAAAGTGTTACCATTTTGTAGATTTTTAAGTTTCATGATTTTGTTTAGTTCAGACAAAAGCTACACTCATATAAAATAATAATGTGTTTGTATTTTTTGTTTCTAATTACTCGATAAAGCGCCATCGTGTTCATCGATTACGATGGCATTTTTAGAACAGTACCAGGATATTATTAATAACGCGTTTAATATTAGAATGAATTACATGAAAAAAATGCATATAATACTTCTCTATAAATATAATATTCTATAATATAATACTTTTCTATTAACATAATTTTCTATAATAATTCTATAATAGTACTTTTCTATAATATGAAGAAAAAAAAGGTATTTCAAACATTGCCCATTTTTTGATTCGAGACATTAAGAAGTTATGAACTGAAAAAATAGTTCTGTAAAATCATCTCCGGGGAATCCCTGTTGTACATGATGATTAATATCCTATTGTAATTCAAAATAATAGCTGCGTTAAATGTTCCAAAGTCTAGCTATTCGATGTCAGAGTACTTAATGGGTAAATGGAAAGGTATCGATATCTTTGGTATTTGATATTAAGTTTTGATACCAATATCGTATAATACCGTGTAAGTATTGATATTGTTTATATAAATAAAATTGTAATTCTGTCTGTAATTGTAAAATTTTTAGGCGATTTCGACTCAGACGTTATAGTTTATAGGATATCCAAATTGAATTGTACGTTTTTAGAATTTTTGCCTGGCCGTCCATTCTGGGTTAACTTAAAATCTATTGAATCGATTTCGATTGAACTACTTCTACTCTGTTCCGCACATGCCAGGGAACAAGGTAAGCTATTTGTTATCAATAGATATAAGTATTAAACAATTACAAATTAAACTTAATTGTGTCTATCTGTAAAATAGACCAATTTAAAATATCAGCCATGTAACATTGCAAGATTCTTACTAAGGGAGGAGGGATTGTTGTTGGATATTCCAACTATAAAATGTACGATATCTCATTTAGATTTGTTTTAAAGTTTTGCTTAAAACTTTTTTGTTTTGTTTTGTACAAATTTTTGCTATACAGGGTGTCCCACGTAACTGTCAAATCAAATCAAAATTAATCAGTTTCTAGTCAGCTACAAAGTGCAATATAAAAATTACCAAAAAATTTTACTATTAAAAAAAATTAAAGTCGCCTTCATTCTTTTAAATGGTATTATTGTATATTCTTTTCTCTATATTGTTGTAGCACGTGTCAAGACAAATTCAACGACCTTGTATACCATGATCTTCGAATAATTTTGAAGCGAAGAATGTGAATCTAGTGATGTTTAAAATTGTTACGTATACTTTAAATTATAATTTATGTTTAGTGCTTCTAGAATGCTCGCCTGACGAGTTTCTCTCTGCATGCTGTGCGAATTCACTGCTTCAGATGTTCCACATTTTTATGTTCAAAGGTCAAGGTATACAAGTTCATTACATTTCGTCTTGATACGAGTTACAATAATATGAAGTAAAAAATATACCAATGCCATATTAAAAAATGAAGATGGCCTTGACTTTTTTAGAATGACAACATTTTTCGGTAGTTTTTATATTGCAATTTGTAGCTAACCAGAAACTGATTAAATTTGTTTGGTAAATTTTTCCATCAGACCGCCGGAAATACTCGAAAAATCGTGGCGACAAATTACGTGGGACACCCTGTATATGTATAATCGAAAGAAATTAAAAGAAATTGTTGACAGATATGACTTGAAACCACAGGTAATAGTAACTGTAAATACAAACGTAAGTACATATAAAAAATAGATACAATTTTAGGTACAGAAATATCTGGACTTACGTTTTATCAGCGATGCTATAGGCACTTAATTTTATATATTTTATAATTACAAATGTAAATATAAGATGAAATTTTAGTTACTATTACAAATTAATGGAAAGCCTACCTTTTTATCTAATAAAATATTAATATACAAATGTGTATGTATATACGTGCATCATATCTATCTTGGCTTATGTCGGATTACTCTGGAACCAATTAGTATGCAAATTCGGGTATAATTGTAATTATATTTAATCGGTGAAAGTAACTATTTGCATTTGTTTGAAATTGTTTATTTCACGCGGATTAGACTTTGTCTCGATGTCTATTTGATTCGGTTTATACGTATTGGTATCGATATGTGTTATGATAGTATCGCCATTAAGAATTTATATCAATCGATAGTTTTGCGTTGTTATCAAAATAGTTTGTCACGAACTGATACTTTATTATTTGTCATCAATAATATCAATTCCAAAAAGCCTGGCATTGTATATTACAAAACAAAATAAGGCGAAAAAGGTGTCAATTATCATTTTCCTTATTTCATTGGTTGTTTATCTTTGAGAACTCTAATCGGAATTTTATCTATTGCTCAATTTCTATTGTAATTTTACCTACTATCCTAAAGCTACTTAAGTCTAATATGCAAGTCTTTCAGTTTCACTTACAGAGAGTTCGCATGCTGGAATTAGAATCGAGGTTCACGGAACAACCCAACCCTTCGTCCGAGACTCTCTCGCTAGAACTAGTCAAATAATTGATTAACAAGTCAAATATCGTAATGTCAAATCAATAACTGTCTTACAACAAACGGTTTAGCTTTACCTCTGTTTACACGTATTATGCTCCGTGGCAGGAAAAACTTTGGTGCACATAATACAGGGTGGCGAATTCATCGAATGTATCTAGAAGTAATATAGAAGGTACATTGAAAATTTTATGTTATTTCGTAATTTTATATTTACGTTTAAACGTGTTGAATTAAATTTTACCTTGAATGAAGACCCTCTGTACGTCATCGCCACAGTACCAAACACCATTTCGCTTAATAAACTTACATCGTCCTCTGCTGTCCTTTCTCGCTGAAAAATTATAATTTTGCGATTAAATACAGTAATGTGAAATAAAACTTTTAATCGATTTAGCGATTTGTCACCTCGAAACTACGACTGCCCGCGAAGTTTATCGAATCGTTGTTTGTCGGCTCGGTATTGTTTTTGAGATCAAATGCGGCTGCTTTGTTCTTGCGCCACCGTTTTTCCAACGAGAGGGAATCAAAGAGAAGCTTTCTTCCGCGCCACTCGCATTCTCGGAACAACAAGATCCGAACTTGACCTGTTCCAAGGCACAAGGCGGAGTTCCTATACATATTAAACATATTAAAATAATATAAATAAATAAATAAATGTATAATTCAATGAACATACTAGATTAAATTAAATTTAATCATAACTCCTTATTCTAAGTTAGAACATCTCGATTATTTATTTTTATAACATGCATGGATGTCACTTAATAAATAAAAGTATTATGTTGATTATGATACGGATCTAAATGTTGAAAAGTTTCGTTCAAAGATATCTTATTCTAGTGTATTTTATATCGTATAAATTAATTATAAAAAGACACGTATAAATAAATTTGAAGGTAATTTATTTATGAATTATATATATATATTTTACATAAATTATGATTTAACATCTGTTTTATATATTATTTAATACTTTTTTATTTATATATCATTTTTTATTATTTATATTTTGTATACTAGTTTGCAAACGTATATAATAAAAGATCGGAAGTACGGAATAAAAATTTTGAATATAGAAAATACCTTGTTCCTTAATTTTTGAAACAATGTTTGGATTTCAATTTGTAATCTTCGAATATTATTCTGAAATAACATATCTATTGTTTCCTTTCATATTTAATATTTTAATCTATAACAGGTATCAGTTTTAAATTTTATAATAATCCTGCGATTCTGGACAGAAACCTTGATTATATTGTACATTATAGATAAGAACCGTTACATACTTTATAACGTTTTAACAAATAATTCCTTTTTAGTCTGTCTGAACAAATGTAAGGATGAATTACCATTGAAGAGACCATTTTTAATATTTGCGCACGTATGAAAAAGATCAAATTTTACATACGAAATTGTCTACGCGAATTTAAATATATGTAACAGTCGTTTGGAAAGTTTTAACGTAGAGGTCAATTTCACGGCTCGATGCAGAAGCCAAGTCACGAGTGAGTTAGTAATGACAAGCGATTATGCCTCCCGCCAACGGGGAGATAGAAACAAGCATACGCGAAATAGGTTAAGGTTTTTCGTAAACACTATTTCGATCAAATCTTGTAATTCGAACAACACTACTTTCATGCGTGAATGAAAAAAACCATTCCCTCGGACAATAAAATCACGCAATAGACACCAAAACGACGTTGGAGCACCGATGATCGATACACCGTATCAGCAATAGATATCGAAACAGTGAATAAGATCGATACATATAGAACGATAAAAATACAGAGTGACAAGAATGAATAAGGTGAATGCAAACGAATAAATCGGTACAGGCGAAAAAAAGGAGAATTCTTACCTATCATCTTCCTCTGCTACAACGTTCGACGATACGAAGGTTTGAACGTTATTCTTGAAACTCCTCCTCGAAGGAAACAATTTATCGAGCAAAGGCATCATAAATTAAAGACCGCATATAGTTACCGCATTGCCCGCTAACTTTGTTTCGTTTTCGGTCTATCATGTCACAAGGAACTGCACCATACATGTTCGCGAGTATCAGTCAACTGTAAATAAAGTCACGTGCAGAGGAGTCATATGATTGCCCGAGATTATCGTATTTCGTTCGGCCAACATCGAATGATATGTTTAGCCGCAGTTTTCTTCAATGGTTCGAACGATTTGTCTTGCGTAAGAAAGTGCAGGTTTGATGGAATATTGTGGGAAATTTCAGAGAAAAATGAGAAATATTAAAAGAAAAAAATAAAACCGATCGAGACGAATTGTCGACGGTGCACAACTGTTGTACCTTAGAAGAAATTGTAAGTCGCGTCGCAAGAGAGCAGCACTTTCGCAATTCGTAACAGATGTCGCGTAACCTTATTTGAATTTCCCTTCCACGACCGTCAATTATAATACCGAACAAATGTATTTGGGCAAACACGTTTTGTTGTATAATTTCAGTATGCGGTACAGTAAATATTATATTAATTAACGTATAGGAATAATTTATTAAACTATTGCAACAAACATGTATTTTAAATATTGAATGAAATTAAATGTGATAAAAGTATTTGGATGATATTAATATACAACTATAGTTAAAACCAAAAATAAATTTGTCAGTAATTTTACAGGGTTAATGGAATTACATAATCAATATTTTGTAGCATGTCAATTCGAATCGATGGCTGTTTTCATCCGTTTTTGGTATGGATTCTAAAAGTTTCTGAATTTTTTCAAGACTAATGCCACTGTCGTAATATTTCAAATAATTTCTTATTTTTTAATTTGTTCAGGCTTTCAAGTTTTGTTTTAGGTGATTCTAAAGATGTTCGATTAAGTAGTAACTTTCTGCTATAGTGTACTTTATTTCGAGTTATTTAAATTTTGAAAATTTTCTCTGTTCAAAAAGCTGAGATATTTATAAAAAGTCAAGAGAGAACAAAACGGCGCAAAAAGGAATGATTACTTCGCCTTCAATGAAAAATAACAGAACTCGAAAAAAATGATTTTGGATGCCTTTTTTTTAAATATCATATTTTCATGTAATATTATCTATTGAAAGTCATTATACTGGGTGGTCCACACAACTTGTGCAGCTCAGTAATTTCCAAAATATGCGTTATATGAAAAAATTTTATATGTACTGGGTGTGATTGCCCCCACGATTTTGCACGCACCCCCGATAAATAATCTGCTAAAAAAATATTTCCAACTAAAGTTACACAGTTTTTAGTTACATATTATAATATAAAAAATTTTAAAAACAATTTTTTTTATAAAGGATAAGCGCACTTTGACTTTCTTTTAAGAATGGTATCCTATATTTCTGACTTCGTAGAGTTGTTGCTAACGAAAAGCCGAATTCAACGACCTACTATATCGTGAGCTTCAGATAATCTTGATTTCAGAAAATCAGGTTTAATCGACAGAAATGTTAATGTGAATAATTATTTTAGTTCAAGCAATTTACAATAAGTGCTCGAATTGTGATATACTTGGTCTGTGGGGCGTTGCTTTGTAGCGGGTAGGAACTCGAAGAAGATTCGTAGGAGGACGGAAAAGAAAAGGGGGGGGGGTGTGGGGGACACGTGTTTCGTCCGGGCCTGCGAGTGGACTCATCAGTAAGGCTTCCTAGCAGGCTCTGCCTTAGACGACTGGGATATTGGGAAGTCGGTCGAGGAGTATACAGGGTGTTCGGTCACCCCTGGGAAAAATTTAAATGGGGGATCTAGAAGCCAAAATAAAACCAAAATCAAGAGTACCAATTTGTTGATGGAGGCTTTGTTAAAAAGTTATTAACGTTCAAAGTTCCGCCCTTACTGAATTTTTTTCTCGAAAATGCGCAGGATTTCGGGGGTATGTCTACTCACAAAAAATGATTGTAATTGACCCCCGCAACCGAAAATAATTTTTTTAGAACAATTTGAAATTTTTTTTTCGCCGAAAAATTTCAACACCTACCCGATTTTTTGTCTCGAAAGTGGATAGGATTTCGGGGGTATGTCTATTCACCAAAAATGATTGTACTTGACCCCCACAACCGAAAATAATTTTTCCAGAACGATTTGAAATTGTTTTTTTTCGTTGAATTTAGGCACCTAATTAGATTTTCGGTAAGGAATTTTTTTCTCAAAAGTGCGTTGGATTTTGGGGGTATATGTAATGACCAAAAATGATTGTAATTGACCCCCGCAAACGAAAATAATTTTTTTAGAACAATTTGAACAATTTTTTTTTCGCCGAAAAATTTCAACACCTACCCGATTTTTTGTCTCGAAAGTGGATAGGATTTCGGAGATATGTGTATTCACCAAAAATGATTGTAATTGACCACCGCAACCGAAAATAATTTTTCCAGAACGATTTGAAATTTTTGAATTTAATTGTTAATAACTTTTTAACGAAGCCTCAATCAACAAATTGGTATTCTTGATTTTCGTCTTATTTTGGCCTCTAGAATTTCCCATTAAAATTTTTCTCATGGGTGGCCGAATATCCTGTATAGTAACCGAGGTGTCGGTCGAGCGCTTGTGAGAGTGCGACACCTCTGGTGGCAAGCATGGGAGGCGACGTGTCGCGACGCCACACATTGATTTAAGTTGCCTTTCGTTTTGGCAGACCAAACATAATATTCTTTTTTGTACCATCTGGTAGGATTTGATGAATAGATTATAGAAATACCAATTTTAGGTGTCGGAATTAACATTATCGAAAGTTATACTTAATTAAAGATGCATACTATACGCGCAGGTACCTACAGCTCATTTTAACGGCATGAAACTTATTCAATAAGGAATTTTGTGGCTTTTTCAGCGGACACAAGCATTAACGACCATATTTTTAATATACTAAAGTGTGAAAATATGGCCCAATAATCGATATGACGGGTTGTGTTAGAAATATTTATTTATATGGCCACCAAATTAAATACTAACTACTTAAATGAGAGGAAAGTGTATTATTTGAATACATATTGTCTTTTAAGTCCACCAATTAAGCTTGACATTGAATTTTACTTATTTTTTTACAAAATTCTATATTATTTTTACAGTTGAAACGTCGCCATAAAAAGTTTACTTATGCGGTGTGAGTTAATAGCACTAATTTCAATATTTGAGAGCTGCATTTTCAATTTCTATGTATTAAAATATATCAATGGTAAAAAAATAGAGCCAAAATTTTTGATCTCTCAAAACGAAGTTTAAGCTTGATCTTCATTACAATAGTATAGTCAGTGTCCTAGATCATTTCGATAATCAACATTATACATATTGAAAAGCAATAAATTAGTTTTGAATTGCTAGATATGTTATCGCTAAATAAAGTTATATTCGAAACGTGTTTCCATTGTGTGTTATCTTTCTAGATTTCTATTCAAAATTTGAAAAACACGCTTATAAAATGTTAAAAATGAATGTATTACAAACTTATACATATATTTAGTCCTATATTGAATATATTTTTATAATATTTGATAACTTTCAATATATCCGAAGATAAATATTCAGTGTTTTATTAAGTCACGTGTAATTCTGTAATTCTGTGCTATTTCGTTATTATAATTTAACATTTACATTTCAGTTACTACAATAATTTACAAAATATGCTTACATATATGATTTCGGATTGTACGAATTTAACATCTTAGAAGCGACATTCACGACTAATCTACTGTATGAAAATAATTAGTCAATTAAAATTGTATTTACATTAAAATTAGATTATTACGGTGTAACCGACCGAGGGGTTGGTCGAGCGCTTGTGAGAGCGCGACCTCTCTGGTGGCAAGCATGGGAGGCGACGCCACATTGTCCATAATTTCATGTATCTGATACAAAAAACCAATACCATGGCCAGAAAATTAACCCCACATCATTACACTACCTCCAGCATATTTTACAGTTACTTTCTTCTCTAGGTAAGAATGTTTCCCGTTTCTGCTCTACAGGTTACGGAAGAAAATTTGACCACATGATACATAAAATGGGGGAGATAATAATATTTTTTAAAAGAATTTGTTACATTTTATGTGAAAGTAATGTACAAGCTCCCAATAAAAATTTGGAAGTTGTCAAAGCTCTTTGTTTTTAAAATACTTAAAATAAGTTTATGTAGAAAGATTATGTTGGAAAAGGTGGCCAGCCGTCAACGACTAAAGGATGCATATAAAAGGAATACAATTATGTTTATTTTATAAATAGAACATTATACGAAGTCTTTTGCGATAGTTATATGGCTAATCATGAAATTTGTACTGATGTATCGCATTTTATTATGTTATTCTAATCGAGGAAAGAAAGGAATGTAATTTGGTGTCAAAGTTTCAAATACATATCATTATGTTGTAGCTTTTGACGAATTTTAAATGACCAGAACATCAATATTAAGAATTACATATAAGTTGTAACTCTTTTGCTTCATGGTCGTCGGGGTTTCGACGTATCGGAACATCGAAATCTACGTTTTTGCGAATTTTGTTTACCAATACGAGACGATGAATGTATTTCGCATCACTGCTATCATCCGAAACATCAAATGCTCTTCGAATGTGATTTTTACTCGTTGCAGGCAAGTATACCGGGAATTCGATGTTGAACGTTATGATGAGATTTCCTTTTTCTTTTGGAGTTTCTGGTAACGGCAGTCCTTCGCCAAGTATGCACTTCCGATAATCAGGTCTGTCGTATATACAATAAAAAGATATTACCAATTACTATTACATCAATTGAGCTAGGTTGTGAAGCAGTCTTAAACGTTGCACTCTGTCCTTTCACTCTGCTTGGTATACTCCCTTTATGTACGGGGGTCGTTCAATGAGTCCTTAGAAAATCCAAGAGCTGGTGCTCGTAGCATCGAAAACTTTTGTTTTTAGTAAGCATCATGACTCACTAGACAGCTGTCAAATTCTCAATTATATCCACCACACGATTTCCTTTTTATTGACTATTGAAGCAAGAAACTTTTGCATATTTAGAAAAATGGAAGAAAGTGAGTTTTGAGCTGTGCTTAAACACTTATATTTAAAAGGCTTAACACCGAAAGAGATCAAAGCTGAGTTGGATGAAGTTCATGGCACATCTGCTTCTGTGTTTGCAAATATCTACAATTGGATAAATGAGTTTAAACGTGGCCGTGCATCCACAAATGATGAACGTCGTTTGGGACGTCCAGTGGAAGTGACTACTCCCGAAATGATTAACAAAATCCACGATATGGGTTTGAGTGATCGACGAATCAAAGTGTGTGAAATAGTTGAGGCCACAGGCATATCGCAAGGTACAGTGTTTTCAATTTTGCATGAAAACTTGGGTATGAAAAAAATCTCCGTAAGATGGATGCCGCGTTTGCTTTCAGTGGAGAATAAACCCAATCGTGTGGTCGACTCTAAGGCTGTTTTGACGCTTTTTCATCACAATCCTGACGAGTTTCTGCGTCGATAAATAACTGTGGATGAAACGTGGATACACCACTACACTCCAGAGACAAAGGAACAGACAAAACAGTGGGTTTTTGAAGGCGAACGTGTTATGAAGAGGGCGAAGACGGTGAAATCGGTCGGCAAGGTGATGGCTACAGTTTTTTGGGATACACGCGGAATCATCGACACCGATTACTTGGAAAAAATGAAAAACAATAACTGGAGAGTATTATGCGTCGTTATTGCACCGGTTGAGCGAAGAAATCAAGAAAAAACGTCCTCATTTGAAAAAGAAAAAGATCTTCATCCATTAAGACAATGCACGGGTGCACACCTGTACAGTTTTGATTGCCAAAATCATGGAATTAAAGTTCGAATTATTACAACATCCACCGTATTCACCGAATTTGGCCTCCAGTGACTTCTTTTTATTTCCAAATTTTAAAAAATGGCTCGGCGGACAACTGTTCACGTCGAACGAGGAGGTCACCGCCCAAGCAGATGCCTATTTTGAGGACCTTTGGAAATCTTACTTTTTAGATGGCTTAAAAAAGTTGGAGAATCATTTGGAAAAGTGTATAGAGCTAAAAGGAGATTATGTTGAAAAATAAAAAAAAATCTACCTAAAATAATTTGTTTTTCTATCTTTTTCTAATGACTTATTGAACGACCCTCGTATATAATAAATATTAACACAAGTTTCTGGTACATATTGTAAAATGACATATGGAACACGCTCATCTATTATGCTTAGATCTCATGGTGTTAAATAGCGAAGGAAATAACTTTTTGACATCCAAAAGTTAACTTTTCATACTACTTTAAAATTGTAATTAAATGTTCTTTTTTGCAAATTTAATCCTTCTTTCTTGTTTTAAATCTTCAATTTGGTGTTTCATAAAGAAATGCTGATCGGTACAGAGCATTCATTAAAATTTATAAGTGCAGTCGGTGACAATTATAACACCGGCAGTCGAGGTATAAAAATATCAAAATATCGAAAAGAAAAAAGGAAGAAGATAAAAAATATTATTGCATTGTGTGGAAGGAATCCTATTCGCACAAGTAAACCTAATAAAAAATAATATCCTTAATCAATGTTTTAGTTGTCAAGATTGAGCACATGAGGAATGGACTAACCAAAATGATTTATATATTTGTCACATTTGCTTAATAATGGAGAAAGAATAATATAATTTTTCATCTTTCACCTTTCTACGTATCAAAACATTAATTTTGTCTCTTATCATTATAGTTTCTTCTAACGTTTTCTTCTATCGTTTTCTAAAATTAGACTTGTGTTACTGTAGTTCCATGGTGTGCTACAACCTAACCCCTAGTCCGGAACGGTTGTAACATTTTCTCCGCTTGTCATTTTTATTTAATAACTCAGATATTCGTTAATATATAACAAAATAGAAGTAATTATATATTTCGAGATATTTACAATGTTACAACCGCCCCCGTGTTTCAACCGTCATCGGTTTACCTTACATTAAGGGGGTATTGCTGCCTAGACTGTCATTTTTTCGGCCTTTTTTGTGATTTTTTTTAAATGTTTGGTAGGCTGTTTTGTACTGAGATTTCGCAGATATATTTATTCATCTTATAAATATCTACAGTATTTTCTCCATCAACAAATATTAAAAATTATGTGAGTTATAACATTTTGTTTAAATATTCATCAGACACTGCTTTATCGCTGGAACTAGAGATTTAAAAAAATATTGAGTTTTACTATTTTTTTTAATATACTAAAGATAAAAGAAAGGTTAAAAAATTAGAAATTCGAAACTTGAAGTGTCGCCATTCATTTATTTATCTAGATTTTGATTTTACCCTAGTTTCTGCTATAACTACAGCCTTCCTAATGAAGATACTTTAGCCCCCTCTGTTTCAGACTAGCGGATCGGCTGGAATCGTGGAAGCCAGTGGAGCACCTTTTTCAGAAGAGCCATTAAACAAAAAGTTATTTCTCCCACAATTTTTAATATTTTTTTATGAAAAAGATATTGTACATGCTTATAAGATGAATAAATATATCTACAAAATCTCAGTACAAAACCTACAGCTAAAAAAAAATTACAAAAAAGGCTAAAAAGTGACACTTTAGACAGCAATACCCCCTTAAATAACTACGAATCTGTCCGCTTATACGTCCACAAGTTAACCCCACCATCTTTTAAAATCCTATAACCGAACCTCTGTATTTTGAAGACAATGTAGAATCTGTTGGCTTCCATAAAATTCGTAAAGCCTGATTTATATAGCAAATAAAGCAAAAAAGACCGAAAGTGACATTTTAGACAGCAATACCCCCTTAGAACATCGTATATTATCTCCTATGTTTTGGGATTTTGAGCGTCGTAGCTTGACGCCATTGCTTACCACGAGTTCGACCACGCGGCTGGTCTCACCGTGTAGTTTCAGTCTTATAGTTTTTAAAATAGCTTTAATTCAAAATTAATTTAACACGTTCGCTGCCAGACGAGAACCGTGCAATTTTCTGCAAAACTAGAATTTTGATTTCAGACCATTGTAAACTGCACATCCGAAAATTTGTTTTGGTACTTATTATTGTAACCTTGCTAAAATTCACAAATCCTATCCAAATTTATTTCCCTCGACATCTCAATTTGACAATTAATTTTTCTACTTTCACAGTGGAAAAACCCTGTCATCCGTATGTGGGTGACGTGGCAGTCAAAGTGTTAAACTATTAATTTGTGTAACTTGACACATTCACCAAATTAGCGGCCAATTAATATTTCCGTAGACGTAGAAGGGGAAAGGAAAGGATGCATTATAAGGCTGTTGCAATAGCGAGATGACACGTACGTGATGACAGACGTTATTGGGATTCGAAGGGTTCTGTCGTCAAGGGTGTTGACGGTGACCACTGTTCCGCTCAGTGCCTCTCGCAGAAAGATATCGACCGTCATGTGCAAGTCAGAGCCCTCTCTTCGGAAGGTCTCGTGGGGCCGGTCCTCCGTGATGAAGATTACATCCGCTACGCTGACGTACTTCAGACTGAGTAAAGACATTACGCGAACCGCTACGATTAACCCACTTCTGTCCGCTACGAGATGCACGATGCATTTTAAACGCATCCTTCGCAAAATTCAAATCGATGCCGAGCGGAAATAGACCACGGATACGACGAATCTGGTTGCATTTCCGATTCTATCGCACGTTTCTATACTTTTTAACTTCCGTTTTGTACTAGCGATTCCAAGCATTAGGGGCTATACCAGTGTGATCGCTCTAAAATTAGATGATTTTCGGGAATTTTTTTTAAAAGAAATATTACATTTAATGTTTTTAAACTTTAGGTATGTGTTTAGTAACAAATCAAATATTTAGAATAATTTTTTGGTACAAAAATAATAAAAAACAAGCGACTTGTGCGCTATCTCCCAGAGGTTAAAAAAAAAAAGTAGCTCCGCTGCTGCAGTGATTGCCGCCGCCTGAGTACCTAAAATGAAAAATAACAAAAACGCTGTTAAACTAGAAAGTATTCTCCGTACCATGAACTAGGATTTTTGAAAAATATCAAAATTTGACAAAATGGCGAAGTTTTAAAAAAAATTGTGAATTTAAGCTAAAAAAATGATGGTTTTTTTAATGCCAAATTGATATTTTTCATCCAATCAAAAAAATCCTAGTTCATGGTATGACAAAACATATACTGAATACACTGCAAAAAGTTTCGAGTCGATACAATAATTTGTATTCAAGTTAGAGCTGCAGCAAATTTGAAATATACCGTTTGGAGAAAAACGCGTATAAAGTTAAAGTTACTGATTTCATTGTGACAAAACGATATTTACCATAGTAAAAGTTAATCTGCTATTCCGAATCCATATAATGGACCTTCCTCTTCCTCAAAAAGTACCTGCTGGGCCGCTGTAGCTTTCCTTCGAGCTGCTCGACTCTCTTTTGAAGCAGCCTGATGTCGTAACTGCGCTCGGTAAATTCTATTCCTATCTCTCTCGTCGGCATACTCCTTTGCAATGGGACCAATAATAACTTTCATTATTTGGAAAATTTTCAATATAGATTGAAAACCATCATTAAAGATTCCAACAGCCAGAAAATTGGCAAGTTCAATGGTTTTTAAACCATTGTGGAGGTGCTTTGGAGCAAAGTGCCAAAGCAAGGCATTGTAACTTTCATTGTTATTTTGGGTGTTTCGACCCTTGCACCTGTCTAATAAATCACGTTTACTTAGGTCCGTATAAATTGGCTTCAGAGCTTCTTCAACCTGTGGGTCTAAAGGACGATAGTTGTGTTGGAATATCGACATGTCTAATCCTTGAGCCTCTGCTCTGCGATATGTGCACCAGCTCTCCGCGCCTGCTGGGCAGTTTCCATGGTTTGGATTCTTGTCAGTCGAACACAAATGAAAAAATGTGGCCCAAATTTCCTTATACATTTCGTCAACATTATCTTGATGTCTGGTAATCGCCAATCCATAGTATTTTTGTAATTTATTAATTAATTTTTCGGTTAGTTTCACCGTACTCTTACTTTTTCCTCCTAAGCCCTTGGTTTGCTTTTTTAAATTGCGGCATCGCGTTCCCATTCTTTTTTGTACGTGTAAGTAGCACTCTAGTTTTTCCACTGGGATATCGTATGGGTCTAAATTTAATATGCCTTTATATGTGACACTATCGCCATCGCCAATATACCGCGTATATTGTATTCCATATTTATCAATCGAGTGATTGAACATTTCTTTTACGCTATCAACCTCCATTTTTGCAGCTGACCCTGAGTGATTTAGATCACAATTATTGTGCTCTGCGAGCCATTCTTCGTATTCTTCGGGATTATTTTCTTTTTTCTTCTTCCATACTTCACAGTAGGATGATTTCACAACTGTATCAATAATCTTTTTGCAGTATTTACCTGCAAGAGTTGTAACGCCGAAACGAGATATAAGTACGCTGCAATATGGTTTCTGGTGTGGCTACAAGTGAACTAAACAAGGGAGATAATGACAATCTAAACGTATACAGTCCTCGTAAATACGCGTTGACTAAGTTTCTTTCTCGCGGCGATAAGCGCGTTTTTGATACGCCAGCAACTACTCTTTAGAAGGCTGCCATTTTTAAACTATTTGAGATTCGACCTTGGAATTTTAATACGATATTCTAGGAAGTATAAACTTTGAAAAAATGCAAAAAAAAAAAAATCCATTTTTCAAAAGTACTACACTGGTATAGCCCCTTATACGAGGTCTGTTCAAAAAATAACCGAACTATTTTAGTTGTATGTTTGTGTATCGTTATAGCAACGAACAGTTGACAGCACTGCAATTGTCATAATCTTCCGTGTAACTGACGTTTTTACAAATTGTTTACATGAGCCGTTTATTTTGAAAGTGGCCTAACTCCATTTTTCAATTTTTTCCGGTTACCATGGTTACATGTACAACTTCATGTTATTTATCAGTAAAGCATTTCAGGTTGCTTATATTCCGAGCAAATACGATAATTCTTGACACATAAGTTTTCAGAATTAGTTCAATAATTGAACCGTGTAGTTTGAAAGTGGCCTAACTCCATTTATACTTAAATCAAGATATTTAATATTGATAATGTCGGAAAGCAGTGATGAAGGTAATTTTAATTAATTAGTATTTACAAGTTAACCTCAGTTTTTGGACAATTGCGTTAGTTGAATAACCAGTACGTTTAATTAATATAAAACTTAAAATTTAATATTAAATTTTAGAAATTATTTCACCCATGGGGAAGAACAGAACAAGATTATTTAGTTCAGATAGTGAAGAAGAAATAGTAACTAATGATTTAAAAAAAAATCGAAAAAGAAACAGAATTATAGAACAAAAGACTGGTTAAAAATATTTTGGATGCGTTTTGTCAGAAATGAACCGTATAAAATTTTCTATAAGACATCAATGAATGAGAATGAAAATTTTAAAGTCCTGAATTTATTACCACGTCGGAGTAGACCAAGAAAGTTCGAAAATATTGTATCGACACCACTGTATAAAAATATCAGACAAATTACAACAGCAAAATTCAAGGACATAACTGACCTATTACGATATATACCACCGGAACATCATGATTTCTTCAAATCCCTTTCACACGCACAAAATGTAGATGAGTAGTAAATTGTTTTGTAATAAATTTATGTTTGTAATTTTGTACGTTATGTAGTTAAAAAATGTTTTGAATCGCATAAATTATGTTTCCGAAGTGTTTTAAAGATATGTAAAATAAATACAGTATTGTTTTTTTCAATTTGAAGCATCTTAAATTATGTTGAATGGACTTGGGCACCTTCAAATTTTATAATGAATCTGGTTGTTAATTTTGAAAGTGGCCTAACTCCATTCTTGATAAGAAAACGCATATTATTCACTTAATAATTGCCACTATTTTAATAGGAACTATAAATTTAACACCCTTAGATACACTTAAGCAGTATGACTCATTAGTATCCTATACGTATATTTTTAAATTCATTGAAACGCAAACCCTTAAATATCTCGATTTGAAGATAAATGGACTTAGGCCACTTTCAAAATAAACGGCTCACATCTTGTTTAGTTTCCGAGTTATTGCTATTTGAGTGCAACGTGCTTCACTGTTCGTGGCGATTTTCGCAATGTCCGAGTTACGAGAGCAACGATGCAACGTGAAATTTTGCGTAAAACTGGGGAAAACATTCACGGAATCGTTTGAACTTTTGAAGCAAAAGCTTACGGAAGTGATGCATTTTCTCGTACGCAATGTTACGAATGGTTTACCAGATTTAAAAAAGATCGTCAATCAATTGAAGATGATCCTCGATCTCGAAGGCCTTCGACTTCAACTGATGACATTCAGAAAATCAAAGATCTTGTGTGCATTAACCGTCGTCTGACTATCAGAGAACTTGCAGAAGAGGTTGGAGTATCAATTGGATCATGTCATGAGATTTTGACCGAAAAAGGACGCCGTTTTGACTCAATTGAGGACATTAAGAAAAATTCGTCACAGGCATTGAAGGATGTTCCAAAAGAAGCTTTCCAGGAATGCACCGTAAAATAGAATCATCGCTGGAACAAGTGTGTGAATAGAAGAGGGGAGTACTTTGAAGGAGACAAAGAGCAATAAGTTGTACATTAAATAAAACAAATTTTTTAAAAATAGTTCGGTTATTTTTTGAACAGACCTCGTATTAGGTTGGGGAAAAAGAAATCCATTATTTTTCACTTATACGGCTGTGGTGATATATTGTGGTCGTTGGAAAAGTGACATTCCATAGTAAATAAATTCTTTTACAGTTTTTTGGTTGATCGATTCAGTTGTGAGTTACAAGGTGTAAAAGGTAGAAGTTAATAAAGAGAAAATTCGGTATATTTTACAATTTTGCTTCGATGAAGGCGAAAATCCAAGCCAGAAGGCTGTAATTGTGAATAGTATTTATGGTCCTGATACTGTTACAGCCAATGTCGAAATGATCGAAGTAGACCGACGTGTTAGGTGGTCGTGATACCACCCAAGAGCTAAAGATCGACCACAAAACAGTCTTAAACCATTTGCTGGATTCAAAAAGAAGTTCGATGTTTGAATGTCCACCTGCAAAGCCTTAGCCAAACGGAACGAAATCGAATGGCAACAAATTATACAATAAAACGGTACATACATACTTGATCCAAGTTGCACTACCCGAACCATGTTAAATAAAGTCTTAAAATAAACATGAAAATAATAGATTTCTTTTTCCCCTATCTAATATAATGTTCCGCCATTAGTGATTCCTCGTGAATAAATAAGTTGCAAATGCAGAATAAAAGGAGGGTGGTAAAAATAGGTCGATTTTGGATCATGCTGCCAACGAAAAATTTTAGCAGAGTATGATTCTATACCTCCCAAAGAATATGAAACACACAATTATTTATCCGGGAAGCGTTGTGAAAGTTATTAAAAACAAACGTAAACTTTGAAATATTGTCGTCCGCAATACTAAATACTAAATCACTAAATACTTTGATATTTTCTTGTTTGCAAGGTGATTTATCAGTAAAATAATCGTTTTAAATAATAGAAGGTAAATTCTTCATAATTTAATGTCAAATATATTATAAAAATGATAAAATTATGTTTAGGTAAGAGTAAGAATCGTCAACCCCATGCACCAACATTATGTTCGCAATAAGGAGCTATGTTTAAATGTTTGACTACAAGATAATATTATAGGATTTTAAAATATTTAAAAATATACATATTTTGATGTATGTTATAATAATATATAAAATATATAATACGAAATATATTATTATTATTATATATACAGGATGTTTGTCCACCCCTGTGAAAAATTTTAACGGAAGATTCTAGAGGTCAAAATATGACGAAAATCAAGAATACGAATTTATTGATGGAGGCTTCGTTAAAAAGTTATTAACGTTTAAAGTTCTGTCCGTATTGAATTTTTTTCTAGAAAGTGGGTAGGATTTCAGGGGTATGTCTATTCACCAAAAATGATTGTAATTGACCCCTGCAACCAAAAATAATTTTGTTAGAACGATTTGAAATTTTTTTTTCGCCGAACAATCTCACACCTTCTCGAATTTTTTTCTCGAAAGTGGGCAGGATTTCGGGGGTATATCTATTGACTAAAAATTGTTGTAATTGGTCCCGCTAGTTAAAAATAATTTTTCCGGAACGATTTGAAATTTTTTTTTTAGGAACCTACCCACTTGTCAATTTTTCTTAAAAATTCGTTTAAAAGTTCTACTTCTCTACTAAAGAGATACGTTAACTATTGTAGGAATTATTGTCGTTTGAAAATTGGACAATTTTTATGGGGTTTTCCTCACTTTACGAGGTTAAGCAATAACTTTTCCAATATTTTTAGAATTTCTACATATTCCTCACCAAAATACGCGTTGTTCGATCTTTTTTTCGAATTTTTTTCTCGAAAATGCGTAGGATTTCGAGAGTATGTGTAATGATCAAAAATGATTGTAACCGACCCCTGCAACCAAAAATAATTTTTTCAGAATGATATGAATTTTTTAAATTTAATTTTTTAATAACTTTTTAACGAAGCCTCAGTCAAGAAATTGATATTCTTGATTTTCATCTTATTTTGGCCTCTAAAAACTCTCATTGAAATTTTTCTCAGGGGTGACCGAACACCCTGTATACAGGGTGTTCGGCCACCTCTAGCAAAAATTTTAATGAGCGATAGTAGAGACCAAAATAAGACAAAAATCAAGAATACTAATTTGTTGGTGGAAGCTTCGTTAAAAAGTTATTAACGTTTAAAGTGCCGCTCTTACTGAATTTTTTTCTCGAAAATGCGCAAGATTTCGGGGGTATGTCTATTCACCAAAAATGACTGTAATTGAACCCTACAACCGAAAATAATTTTTCCACAACGATTTGCAATTTTTTAATTTTCTCGAATAATTTCACACCTTCTCTATTTTTTTTCTCGAAAGTGGGCAGGATTTCGTGGGTATGTCTAATGACAAAAACTGATTGTAATTGACCCCCGCAACCGAAAATAATTTTTCCACAACGATTTGCAATTTTTTTTCTCCGTTGAAAAATTTAGGCACCTAATTGGATTTTCAGTAAGGAATTTTTTTCTCGAAAGTGCGTACGATTTCGGAGGTATGTGTAATGATAAAAAATGATTGTAATTGATCCCCGCAACCGAAAATAATTTTTTTTAAACGATTTGAAAAATTTTTTTTCGCCGAAAAATTTCAGCACCTACTCGATTTTTTTTCTCGAAAGTAGATAGGATTTCGGAGGTATGTGTACTCACCAAAAATGATTGTAGTTGACCCCCGCAACCGAAAATAATTTTTCCAGAACGATTTGAAATTTTTGAATTTAATTGTTAATAACTTTTTAACGAAGCTTCCATCAACAAATTAGTATTCTTGATTTTCGTCTTATTTTGGCCACTACTATCGCTCATTAAAATTTTTGCTAGAGGTGGCCGAACACCCTGTATACAATAATATACGTAATTCGACCACTTAAATATTTTGTGTATATATTATTAGATAAAAATAAAAATGGATTAAAAAGTATTGTTGGACATATGTGTGGATGTAGAGTTGGTGAATTGGTTGTTGGTTGCTGCTCTCACGCAACAGTAATCTTATGGTGTTTTGGATATGCTTGACACCAAACTACGACGAACTTGCCTACTGAATTTCTAAATAACTATTTTAATGATGGATCATCATCAGAAGAACAAAATATCGAAATACAGAGATTACTTTGCGTTTATTTTTAATAACTTTCCTATCACTTCCCGGATAAATAATTATATATTTCATATTTTGTAGAAAATATAGAATCATGTCTTGATAAAATTTTTCGTTGACAGCATGGTCCAAAATCAGCCTATTTCTACCACTCTCTTTTTTTAATACGACGCTTTGTTTTCGAAAAAATTGAGCTTGAAAATTTATTGAGTACACGTGTACCAACTGTAATTTGGTGTTTCCAAAAAAGAGTCAAAAGAAAAGATGAATGGCTTCAAGAGCACTATATCTATAGAACCATAATTTAAACAAAAATGTAACGATGCATGTACAATTAACAATTGTGTGATTTTTGAAAATAGAAATGCATATTTTCTGCAGAAAATTATTAGGATACAATAGCAAAATGTTATTAGTTCTTGAGATATAAAAAAATGTCTTTTTATCGAAGATGCTCAAACGTTTCATGACAATTTTGTAAATGTAAATACCCTTATAACATGGCGCCCAGAGCCACGTGCACGTTCAGTCTCTGTTTTGTCACGGTTTTGTGTACATACACATATAACTGTACCGAATAATATCAAATTCCTATTTCAAAGCAGTAAACTGAACTGTATGGCCAATTTGACAAACTCAATTTTTTAAGAAACGACACTCAACGCAATTATAAGAGGCCAGTCAATGCAAAGTATCAGTGAAAATGACTTCAGCGTTCGTTCGTTACTAACATCTAAACCAGCCTCACTAATGTCCCACATAAAAATATTAAATATGTATGTACGTAAAAGAGATTTCCAAAGCAATGAATTTTTGATACTGTATTGAGGCAAGTTCGTGTAAAGGAATAGAATTAGTTCTCTTTTTCGAACCATGTCACATTAACCCCTTTGAGCCCATTTTGTCTCGAATTTGAATTTTGTTAATTTGTATTTGAGGCTTCATGTACTACTATTATTGTTACTCAGTAAAAACTGAAACAGTATAATTTTAAAATAATATCACGAATCAAAATTTTACTCATAAGGAAAAATTTTTAAATTATTATTTTCGTTATTTTTGAACTTTGACACCTAATGTTTGCCTGTAATTAATCAGTTTTTTAGTCGTTGGTGGTATCTACACGTGCTTGATAAGGAACCAAAGCAGCTTGAAATATCCTGTTAATGCGAATCACAAGTCGCATAAGTAATCGGACAGAAGTGTTTTGTAGTTAATCGATAGATTTTTCTATTTTTTTATTTTCTAAAAGGATAGAAGGATTTACCAGGAATCTTCGTAGGTCCCTGGTCGCCTTCGTTTGGAAAAATAATTCTCGTTCCTACCGGAATACCCGGTTTAATAGGTATCGTTAGAATCTTTTCTTTCGTTACTGTTCGAGATAAATCGTCGTCCACCAAGACCAATCTTTGTATTTTCATTTTTTTAATTCCTCCGTAAAAGATCTAATGATATTGACAAAAGAACACATAAAAGTGTGCTTCATGAGACGTATTGCAAGAATATCTTTGGGACCCAAAATTTTGTACAATTACATGAAATAATTTTTACATTACTGTCATTATAAAATTTATACGCACATAGGATCAAATTTCATTTAATTCTGAAAATTATAATTTCCATATCTCTCACTGTATCTTTATGGGAGACCTTATTCAAATTATTTTCAATTATACAGAGTGTTCGGCCACCCCTGGGAAAAAATTTTAATGGGAGATTCTAGAGGCCAAAATAAGACAAAAATCAAGAATACCAATTTGTTGATTGAGGCTTCGTTAAAAAGTTATTAATGTTTATAGTTGCACCTGTAGATAGGCAACCTGCGTACAGCTGCGTGTGCGCGATAGTGATTCTTACTCACAAGGGGAGGTCACGACCTGTCAACCTGGGATTTGAACCAAATTTGGCAGAGTTGTAGGGGCTGATGTCCAAATGTAATCTGTAAAATACTAGACGTTTATGGCCAGCCATTTTTGAAAAAAATGACGTTGAAGTTTAAAATTTGAAAGTAGTCGGATCGAATTCGTTTTTTTTTTAATTTCAGGTCTCGACGAGAGGAACACAAAAGTCCAATACATTTTTGCCATACCATCAATAGTTTAGCCAAAAATTAAAGTTTTTTGTAACGGGATAGATGCATACAGTGGCTCACGAAAGTATTCGAACGCTTACATATGCAAACTTGAGTGGCCGAAATAATGTACATTAAAGCAATTTGCTGAAACAAGTAGATGTCAATAGGAAGATGGAAGTCTTAAGATTATGCCAGTAAAATTTGAAAAGGATTCAACAACGTAAGTAGAAGTTATGATACATTTATTAGAAACACGCATGGTAAGCGACTCACAAAAGTATTCGAATGCTGTAACACTGTTGATAGTTTTTCATTTTCCTTTGCGCCGAATGTGAACATCAATGCTAAATGAAAATATTGATACGTTCACTTGATGTTAAGATATCGTTTCAGTATCAGTAACGTAAAAATGTGCACAATAGTATTTAAAATGAGCACCAAAAAGTGTGAAAGAGAAATAATATTACGATTGCATGAGGACAGCAAATTGTATAACGAGATTGCCGGGATTGTGAGCAGAAGTAAGTCTATAATACATTATATCATAAAAAAGTCAAAGAATGAGTGAACACTTGTAAACAAAGCTCGATCAGGTCGACCAAAGAAATTGACTGGGAGAGAGGAGAAAGTTATCATTCGCGAATCAAAAAAGAGTCCTACTATATCCGCTCCTCAACTCGCAAATATGGTAGCTGATATGTTTCATAAAGAAGTTCACCCGGAATTATGTCGACGAATCTTACGAAACAATGATTTTCATGGCAGAGTACCGTGAAAGAAGCCATACATTAATCCAGTAAATCGTAACAAAAGATTGACTTTCGCGAAAACCTACATTAATAAAGATAATACTTTCTGGGATAAAGTCATCTTTTCGGACGAGTCAAAGTTTAATATTTTTGGCTCAGATGGTCAAAATTATCTGTGAAGGAAACCAAATACAGAATTGGAAATTCAACATTTACATCAAACAATGAAACACGGAGGTGGGTCGGTCATAGTATGGAGGTGTATGGCTGCCAATGGCACCGTAAATTTAATATTTATTGACGGAGAATACTTGATAAATATAAGTATTTAAATATTTTAAAGAATAACCTTAAAGAAAGTGCCAGTAAACTAGGATTATTGGAAGATTTCCAACAAGATAATGATCCGAAGCATACTGCTAGAATTGTAAAAGAATGGATCGTATATAACACACCACACATGTTATTTACTTCACCGCAAAGTCCAGACGTAAAATTTATAGGCTAAAATAGGAAAAAGATTAAATAAATTTCAAATAACATCAAAGCAAACACGGAAAAATAAAATTATAGAAATATGGAACTCCATTGAGTGTAGTTTTACAAAATCATTGGTTTATAGTATGGAACGTCGGCTAAGAGACATTATAGCTGCTAAAGGTGGTCCAACAGAATATTAATATTAAATAATTTATTAATACATGTAGCGTTCGAATACTTTTGTGAGTCATTTACCATACGTGTTTCTAATAAATGTATCATAACTCCTACTTACGTTGTTGAATCTTTTTCAAATTTTACTAGCATAATCTTAAGACTTCTATCTTCCTATTGACATCTACTTGTTTCAACAAATTACTTTAATGTACATTATATCGGCCATTCAAGTTTGCATATGTAAGCGTTCGAATACTTTCGTGAGCCACAGTATGCATCTATCCCGTTACAAAAAACTTTAATTTTTGGCTAAACTATTGATGGTATGGCAAAAATGTATTGGACTTTTGTGTTCCTCTCGTCGAGACCTGAAATTAAAAAAAAAAAACGAATTCGATCCGACTACTTTCAAATTTTAAACTTCAACGTCATTTTTTTCAAAAATGGCTGGCCATAAACGTCTAGTATTTTACAGATTACATTTGGACATCAGCCCCTACAACTCTGCCAAATCTAGTTCAAATCCCAGGTTGACAGGTCGTGACCTCCCCTTGTGAGTGAGAATCACTATCGCCCGCACGCAGCTGCACGCAGGTTGCCTATCTACAGGTGCAACTATAAACGTTAATAACTTTTTAACGAAGCCTCGATCAACAAATTGGTATTCTTGATTTTCGTCTTATTTTGGCCTCTAGAATACCCCAATAAAATTTTTCCCAAGGGTGGCCGAACACCCTGTATAACAAATGAAAGTTTTTCAGATATTATTCGAATAACATACAAGTAAAAATAGCTCGAATGATGTCATGTTTGGGCATACATCTATCTATTCTTGGAACAGAAATGCTACCAGGTTGTGTGAAATCGAGTGGATCCGATTCAATGTCACACATCCGGGGATTGTTACACATGTCTAGTAAAATCTTGTCAGTGTGTCGCAGACATTTTTATGTCGTTAGAAAATTCTTAAACTTCTGTTAATTTAAGATACGAGCAGAAACTTAATAATAATTAGAAATTATTTCTAATTATTTAATAGTATCGTGCATCTTCGTCTACGACAAAATGTATATTGTTGCAGTTTTTCAAAATCATGCACAATAATTACTAGAAAATACCTTTATAAATATTAAAATGCATATGGGAAAAATTTTTCATTAAAGGAGCAACAGGAATGTTTTAATATGTTTGAAAATTTACTGCATGTTTAGGTTAACAGCTGGGTATGTTCAAGATTGTCTTTAAAAGCTAATAGATAATTAACGAAGGTGATGATAAGGTCACACTGGATGCACTTTGTAGGTAATATGCAGGGTGTTCTAGTTTTTTCTTATAAAACTTTACCAATATATTCTACAAGCAAAATTAGTGAAAAAATGTTTTGTATACATAGGTTCTTAAATTCTTTATTAGGAAGTTATAATAAAAATACGAAATGATAGCAGACTGGTGTTACATCGATACATCGAACGAACGAATTATCGATATCAATTTGCGTTTATACATATAAACTCCGTTTATGTTTGCGGAATACAACAACACCAAACTAAACGAAATCTATTTGTGTAAATATAAGCACATGTTATAAGTAAAATTACAAATAATATACAAAATAACAATAGATTGCTTTTCCGGATTCGTAGTTCTATTTTAAAGTAAAAAATCTATCGTATTGTTGATTTTCTCAACTTTTTTCTTAATTTGTTGATAGAGGCTTCGTTAAAAAGTTATTAACGTTTAAAGATCCGCCCGTACTGAATTTCTTTCTAGAAAGTAGGTAGGATTTCGAGGGTTGGTTTATTCATAAAAAATTATTGTAATTGACCCTCGCAACCGAAAACAATTTTTCCAGAACGATTTAAAATTTGTTAATTTTGTCGAAAAATTTCACACCTTCTCGAATTTTTTTCTTGAAAGTGTGTAGGATTTCGAGGGTACGTCTAATGACCAAAAATGATTGTAATTGACTCCCCTAGCTAAAAATAATTTTTTTAGAACGATTTGAAATTATTTTTTCGCAGAAAAATTTAGGGATTTATTCGAATTATTTAGGGGGATACCCCTGTCGATTTTTTTTTTAAATTTGTTTTTCACTATTAATAAATTTGTTTCACGTCCTACAGAAAAGTTGCCTAATACTTTTTTGTAGGTATCCATGGGCTCTGTTTCAGAAAAAAGTTTCATTGGAATACATTCACTATTGTATGGGTTATGGCTGTTTGAAAATTGGACGATTTTTATGGGGTTTTTCTCACTTTACGGGGTTAAGGAACAGCTTTTCGAATATTTTTAAAATTTCTACATATTCTTCACTAAAATACGCGTTGTTTGCATTTTGAAAAATTAAATTAGATTCGCATGAAATATCAGGAAAGCTTTTTGGCCCCACATTACATTTTCGGTAAAGAATATTTTTCTCGAAAGTGCGTAGTACTTCGGGGGTATGTCTTTTCCCCAAAGATGCTTGTAATTGACCCCTGTAACTAAATATAATTTTTTTAGTACGATTTGAAATTTTTTAATTTCGTCTAAAAATTTCAGTACCTTATCGAAGATTTTCCTCGAAAGTAGGTAGGATTTCAAGGGTATGTGTATTCACCAAAAATGATTATAATTGAACCACGGAACCAAAAATAATTTTTTCAGAATATTTTGAAATTTTTTAATAACTTCAGGGACGATTTCTTTTTTCTTTTTTTGAGCCTATTTATTATTAACAGTAACAGTAATTATAAAAAAAAACAACTAAAGGTCCACATATGTGGCCAAGGGCGTGAAGAGGTTAACGAAGCCTCCATTAAGACATTGATATTCTTGATTTTCGTCTTATTTTGGCCTCTAGAATCTCCCATTAAAATTTTTCCCAATGTTGACCGTGCATCCTGTATACAATTTTTTCTTAACTGAGCTTGTAGAATATGTTGGTAAAGTTTTGCAGGGAAACATTGGGACACCCTGTACGTATATGCTGGATATAAAACAATGTATTTGACAGTAAATAGTAAGTTCTTCATGTTGATTTCAATATTTCGTTGAACGAAAGATAACAAATTTATTTTCAATTGCGAAAATGATACCATTACACCGCTCATTTTCTTTACATGTAAAATCCCTTGCGAAGTTCAGTTGTTTAAACAAAATATAAAATAACGTCCTAGGCTATAGCACAAGCACTGGAATTGGAAAATTAGTTTTCATCGATAGTATTACGGATACGAACAAATATCTGAATTTATAAAGTAATTTATAAAATTATTTAGTATAGAGCGTTAAAATAATTGAGTTACATTACAATAAATCTAATCAGACTCTAGTGATCGAATATTTTTGTTATTCACTGTGTTTAATATTGAAATTAAAAATCAAAGGTAATCAAAATTGAAAACTGAAAATCTATTATTTTTTACATTTTATTATATATATTTTTCTTTATCGTTTGCAATTAAGTCTTGTAATGTGTCCGAAAATATTGTGACGTAATCGTTTTTATTAATTTTTAAATGTAAATATAAATATAACTATAATGTAAATGTAAATATAACTACACTCTGTGATAAAAAGATAGCACACTAAGTAATTTTGATACTTTTCGTAAATGTAGTTAAATAATAGCAGTTATTATATTATATATCGTTCTTTAGTTAAATATACAGGGTGGGGCAATAACTATGTCCACCTTGAATATCTCCGTTATTTGTAATAATATTAAAAAATTTTATATACAAAACTTGCACGGTACAGAGGGGGACACATTTTGATATAAACATTTTTCGTGTGGGTGGAGGCATAGAGTAGATTTCAAGGTCCCCTTCATTTGTTTAAATGGGATCACCCTTTTTGAAACACCTACAATGATAATCCCTTTCATTAGGAATTCAGTGACTATAATTATTCAAGGTCATGGTCGGAGAAAATGTATAAAATTTAAAATATGAAAGCAGAATACCTGTGTTTCATAAATGTTCAAAATGATGGCCATTTACGTCGATACATTGCTGTAAACGGGCTCCGAAGGAATGTTGAACTCTGACAAGTACATCCGAGATCATATTCGCACATGCTGTGATGATCCGCTGATGCATATCTTCAACTTTTTTAGCAGACCCTACAAAAAGAAATCCAGTGGATTTAAATCAGGCGAATGTGTTGGCCATGAGACAGTACCACCTCGTCCAATCCATCGGTTTGGAAACCTAGAGTTCAATGTTTTTCTCGCTACTCGTGCATAATGGGCCGGACAGCCATCATGTTGGTACCACATATCATAACGGTTTTGTAGAGGGTCATCTTTCAACAAAATTGGCAGATCTTCTTGCAAAAATTGAGAATATGTTTGCCCTGTCATCGTTCAAAATACCACATCACACGTTTACGTTTCATTGCCTTTGGTTATCAACTCTTCGAAGCCAGTGCAGATTATCAACAGACCAATAATGGACGTTCCGTAGATTAATTGAGCCATGATTACTAAATGTTGCTTCGTCCGTAAACAAGACATTAGAAAAAAATGAACGATTTTGATGTAATCCCCATTGACAAAAATTAATTCAACATTGAAGGACCTTAGTATGTTTACTACAAGTCTTCCTTGCGATAAACGTATTCTGCTTTCATATTTTGCATCTTATACATTTTCTCCGACCGTGACCTTGAATGACCTTGAATAATTATAGTCACTGAATTCCTAATGAAAGGGACTATTATTGTAGGTGTTTCAAAAAGGGTGATCTCATTTAAAAAAATGAACGTGATTTTAAACTCTCCTCTATGCCACCACCCACACGAAAAATGTTTATATCACAATGTGTCCCCCTCTGTATCGTGAAAGTTTTGTATATAAAATTTTTTAATATTATTACAAATAACGGAGATATTCAAGGTGGACATAGTTATTGCCCCACCCTGTATATTGCACGTGTTCAGGGTAAACACGTTTCCTCTATTTAGTCAAAATGATAGTACACTTTCAAAGTTTCGTTTCTCCAGTCAACATAAGGTTGTTGAACTGTCCACACGAGCAAATATTTAAGATTGTGAGAGTTTTAGTCTCAAAATTGTGTGCAATTATAAACAATGAAATAACAATAATTCAAAATTTGCATAAAAAAAAGTGTTTTATTGCAAAAATTGCAATAGTTTTAAATCTCAGTCGTAAAGAAATATATAATTTTTTTAAAAATAGAGAAAGATATGGGAAAAAGAAAAGCACCGGGCGACCAAAAATGACGTTTGACCGTCAACGACAGTCAACGTCTGACTTTAAGAATTGCAAATGTGAATGTTCGTAGTTACAACAAAGTACATAGTTAGAATTAAAAAAAATAAACTCAACTTATATAATATTTTTTTATTAATTTGACATGAAAGAAAATATGTTAATAATTTAGAAACGAAAAAAAGAAACAAAGACTGCAATAATTGGACGCACGTGTGCCATCCTCGTGGACACCCACACACACACACACACACCAAAAAAAAACATAAAATGGGCGCGTAAAGTAATGCAGCCAATCACACAAAAACAAAAGTATCTTTTACCAACCAAACGTCAAACCAGATATCCAAGGACTATAGAATCATATTTTAACAACAAAAAAATGTAAATACATACAACGTGCAAAATTGATGCATAAACCACCCCTAACAAAGCAGCATAAAGACCCACTTTTACAGTTTTCTGAAGAACGTATCCACTGGAAGAAAAAATGGCGAAGAGTAATTTTTAGTGACGAAAAAAGATTTACACTAGATGGACCGGATAGATATTGAGCTTATTTTCACAATTTGCATAAAGAACCACAAATATTAAGTCATCGACAAGCAGGTGGTAGAGGAGTAATGAAGTGAATTAAGCTTATAAGTGAAAAGTTCTAATTACATTACGTTAATAAATGAACAGCTGGAAAAGCATGCTGTAAAAATTGCTGGTACAGATTTCATTTTTCAACAAGATAATGCAAGTGTTTGTACGGCAAGAATTGTGAAATAGCACTTTACGCAGCCAAATATTCGAGTTTTAGAATGATCACCCAGATTAGTAGATTTGAATATTATAGAAAATTGTTGGGCACAATTATCAAGATTACTGTATGCTAAGGGAAGACAATTGCAGACCCTTCAGGAATTAAAGAATTGTATCGAGGGAAACTGGAGATCTTTAAGTAGAAATTTGTTAAAAAATTATTGAAATCTTTACCAAGCTATTTATTAGCAGTCATACAAACAACAGGTGATGCAAAAAAAATATTAAAATAACATATTTGTACAGATAATAAGTCGCTCAAGAGATACGTGTTATCATTTTGACGCATCGGTTTTTCATCGTTTTTCAATACTGTAAAATAAAATTTATTCTTTTTGCAATAAATACTTTCAACCATACTTGTATAACTTGTTATTATTATAAGACGTTAGAAACATCAAAAGCAATGTAATATATTGTTTAAAAAGTTAAACAATTTTATACTCGTACAGTGTGTTATCTTTTCGTGATGGGCCGTATATGCAGAAAGTTTTCTGTAGTGATCGCTATGTCGTGTCTACGGCTATTAACACTGTGAGAAAAGAAAACTATAAATAAGTAGAACGTCGATATGATACCTCCGGTAGGGTTAGGTACAAGGTTTTTATCAGAGGCTCCTCCTTGCGTTTTAATCCCCGTCCCTCGGGAAATTCCAGCACAGACGGAGGCTGCAATACTATTTGAAGTAGATCAGCATAAGGACTCTCGGTTCCGAAGAATTCCCTAAAGAGGCGCCGATAGATCAGATCGTAAATATTCAAAGTTTTTAAGTGGCTGTTAAGTCTGGTCACGTTAAGTTTCGAGCTAGTGAGTTAATGACTTGGAGATTCAAGTCACTGGGTGAAACGGAAAATTAGAATAATTGAAAATCATGTCAACGCATTGGAGAGAGGGAAATGAGCATGTTTCATTACTAGACATTTATGGGAAATTTTAATTCCCAAAAAACTACAGGATGCATCTAATATGCAATAATATAAGAAATACTTAAAATAAGATACGAATTATTATATTTAGAGATTGAGGCAACCCATTTCATTGATTCTATTAATAAAAGTGTGAATTTGCATAAAGATCGGTTGTCTGTTTATTACTTTCTTACTTATTTAACAAAAGCATACATATACAGTAGCGGACAAAAGATTAAGGCTAAAATGGAAAAAAGAAAGAAATGATTTATTTTGTATGAAAAACAGTAAAATTTTTTGGTTTTAGTAATAACTTATTAGTTACTTGTTTATATATTGCATACAATTTTTAACTTTATACCTGAACTTATTAGGAAAATTATATAAAAAGAAAGTAATTGTCTATACAGGGTGTCCCAGCATCGGTGGTACAAACGGGAAGAGGATGATTCTAGATGAAAAAACAAATCGAAAATAAAGAATAAAATTTTTTTATTTGAGGTTTCGTTGTCAAGAAAATCAATTCTGAATTGATCTCGATACAAATAGCACCAATATCATTAGTATCAACATGATGTACTGTATTACCTCTGTTTATGGATTTAAAGTAGATTTAAATGAAAATAAGGCATGTAATTTACTTATTAAACTAACTTAATACATACAAAAATTGTTAAAAATTGCTCATCGTGCTACATATACAATTTTCTAAATTAGATTTGTATGAACTAATGGATTCTAATGTATTCTGTATCTTTAATTCTTCAAATGCCAAATGATTTTCGCTTGTAATTGAGGAGTGCACAAAATATTCTTCTTATACTCGTTTGTTTTAACATGACCCCATAGATACAAATCAAGGAGTGTTAAATATGGGGACCATGATTAGACAAAATTGAAGATAATAGCATACTAAGACAACAAATGAAATGATGATACGTGCTCAGGAAATCATGTCAATATGAATGTACAGAACTACAAAAAACATAATAAAAGCCTGTATCGACATCTATTAATCTAAGCCATAGTTAAATGCGCGCGTGCTCTGTGAATATTCACAGTGGATTTTCTGGACAATGAAATTTTAAATGAAATAATTTTATTCTTTATTTTCAATTTGTTTTTTCATGTAGAATCACCTCCTCTGCGGTTGTACCACAGAGGCTGGGACACCCTGTATAATATCCAGATGACTAATTGTTATTTCGGCAAGTATCTTATTCTGCTTTTGTAATCTTATAACTTGTTTTCTTTCGTTTTATATTTCTTGATTTAGTTGTACTTTTGTGTAAATGAATTTGAAATAGCAAACGATGTACCAAATACTAACTTGGAAAGTTAAGAACCAAAATATTGACAAGTTAAAATCTCTTTTTAGACGGATTGTCTTAAACTAATGTCCACCGTTTGCAGATACTAAGAGGGAATTCATTGACGAAAACCAAATATACATCTGTATTATTTTAAAAACAGAAGCTGAACATAACACGCTTATAATACAAAACACAATTCTTCATCTTAAACTTTTGTTTACTACTGTAGTTATTTCATAAATTATTATTAATTTCGAAATAAAGTACTAGGGAAATGTATTCGAACGCGAAATGTATTCACTACGCTCTTACGAATTTCTCTCTTTGTGGAGTGTTAACTATTAGTTAATACAGTAAGTGCATTTGTATATAAATGAACAAAAGTGTTCAGATTTTTCTTTTAATATGACAATATTATTTCTTCTATCATGCGTCAGGAGGGAAAAATTACTATCAAAGTAATCATAAAGATGAAAATGATAATTTTATTTTGCTGCTTACTGCGTGGTAATTTGGCAAAAATTTTTTCATACTAATGAAATATAGGTAATCGATATCATATAATATTAAATGAAAATCTCAATTTTTTTGGCTACGTGACGTAGGTCACTTTCATAAATACCAGCTCATATCATCGCTTTCTCTATACAGGATGTTCGGTCGCCCCTGGGAAAAATTTTAATAGGAGATTCTAGAGGCCAAAATAAGACAAAAATCAAGAATATCAATTTCTTGACTGAGGTTTCATTAAAAAGTTATTCAAAACTTAAATTAAAAAATTTCAAATTATTCTGAAAAAATTTTTTTTTGGTGCGGGGCTCAATTACAATCATTTTTGGTGAATACACATACCCTTGAAATCCTACCTACTTTCGAGGAAAAAATTCGAATAGGTACTGAAATTTTTAGACGAAATTAAAAAATTTCAAATCGTACTAAAAAAATTATATTTAGTTACAGGGGTCAATTACAAGCATCTTTGGGGAATAACATACCCCAAATTCCTACGCACTTTCGAGAAAAAAATTTTTTACTGAAAATCTAGTGTGAGGCCAGAAATGCTTTCTTGAAATTTCATGCGAATCTTTAAAATGCCATAACTCCTGAACGAATTGGAGGATTTTAATTTTTCAAAATGCAAACAACGCGTATTTTAGTGGAGAATATGTAGACATTCTAACAATATTGAAAAAGTTGTTCCTTGAGACCGCAAAGTGAGAAAAACCCCTTAAAAATGGTCCAATTTTCAAACAGCCATAACCCATACCATAGTGAATGTATTCCAATGAAACTTTTTTCTGAAACAGAGTCCACGGGTACCTACAAAAAAGTATTAGACAACTTTTCTGTAGGACGTCAAACAAATTTATTAATAATGAAAAACAAATTAAAAAAAAAAAATCGAATAGATGCGTAAATTTTTTGGCGAAATAAGAATTTCAAATCATTATAAAAAAAATATTTTAAGCTAGGGCAGTTAATTACAATCATTTTTGGTCATTAGACATACCCTCGAAATCCTACACACTTTCAAGAAAAAAATTCGAGAAGGTGTGAAATTTTTCGACATAATTAAAAAATTTCTGATCGTTCTGGAAAAATTTTTTCCGGTTGCGAGGGTCAATTACAATAACTTTTGGTGAATAGACCTACCCCCGAAATCCTACCCACTTTCTAGAAAAAAATCAGTACGGGCGGAACTTTAAACGTTAATAACTTTTTAACGAAGCCTCCATCAATAAATTAGTATTCTTGATTTTCGTCTTATTTTGGCCTCTAGAATATCCCATCAAAATTTTTCCCACGGGTGGCTGAATACCCTGTATATTAATTAATTTCATACGTATTGTACCGCATACTGAAATTACTCAAAAAAAAATATTTGTTCGAATATATTTGTCCAGAAATGTACATGGTTTATGCTCCTCAATTTTCAGATATCTGATCCTGTACCTGTAAGTTCTCATGGGTTCCCCGTGGTAAATATAGGGTTCAATGATTCCATCCGCGCCAGGCACGCCATTTTTAAGCCCTTCTTCGCCAAACTGATCGTATATAGCCCTCCTAAGAGGATCAGATAGTACATCGTAAGCTTCAGCTGCTAACGCGAAAATCGTCCTCAAACATTCATCCTTTGCTTTTTCAGGATTGTATCGTATCGCCAAACGGCGAAATCTGAAAGCAACAAAGAGAAAACAAAACTAAGAAACAGTCGTGAAATTTATAATTGGCTTGCGTGTTTATTTATATAGACTTATATCCCTATTTCGGATATTTTTTTTTATTAGCTTACAGTTACATCAATCATTGGATTTGGCTATTAGAGATTTAGAGATTAGTGATTACGTGGTACATTTTTAGAAAAGTTTAATTCGTTAAAAAATTTAAAAAAATTGTAATATTTTAGGATGTCTTAAGGAAGTATTCTACTGTACAATTTTTAGATATTTTTTTAATAAGTTTTTGACAAAAAAATTGTACAATTTTTTTGTTGGAATTTCTCACACATATTTAATGACATTTATGAAATATGTATAAATTTTTCGATTATAAATATTAATAACAAAACATTTTGCACATTGTAGAAAATAGTAGAAGAAACAAAAAACACGTCTTTAAAACGCTTTCAATAAATATACCTTTAATATTTGTAAATGTTTGTACATTATTAAATATTTCTATTTGTTACGCTGTTATTTGAAAAAATATCGAGGAAATCACTAGACATAGAAAACTGATGTGGCAGTTGAAAGAGTTATACTCATTTGCACTCGATGACAGGATTTTTTTCTGAAATTTTGACAACTTTATTATAAAATATTACATTCAAAATAGGAATATCTTTTATTTTCGTTTTTCAAAATTGATAGTCTATATACAAAAATAAAACAATAAATATACTTGAAATATTATTGTATTTGCTATTTAATTACAGTAACAGTTTAAGAAAAGGAAAGATGTAAACAATGACGTATTATTTAGATATATTAATAAATATTACTTATTGAAGATCTTTCTACATGTACGTAGTTCTCATTGAAATTAAACGATTAGTTTTGTCGTGGTACGAATGGATTTTGGCTCACGGTAAACGTACACAGTTGGATCTATTCTTTTCCATCTTGCCGTGGAAAAAGTATTTCAAATAACCGGAGATTACTATGTAAATATGTTTTAATTTAACTCGTTTTAAAACAACAGTGAATTCAATATTTCATTATATCTATACTAAATCTATTTTACTTTTGTATTTATTATTATCGATTTTTATGTATTCATATGCCGAACTAAATATTAATATTGTTTTGTTGAATGAAATATAGTCTGCATTTGGTACATGTTTTCTAAAATCTAATAATAATAATAATAATAATAATAATAATAATAATAATAATGCAGATACGTCAATAAGGTAATACAAATAAATAATGTGCTCGAATTATTAATTCCTGTAAATACCTTTAGAATCATGTTAAGAATGTCTAAGGTATAACTGTTTCTCTTCCTATTTTAGAGAAAACGTTACACAATAGAAACAGAGGCTAAGAAATATTTTGTAATAAGACCAGGATAATTGGGCCGATAAAAAAACGACGAAATACATAGTACGTTCACGTCAATAAAATGAGCTCTCACTCACGCTTTCTTGATCTCTGAATCGGAACAGTTTTTTTTTAGCGATAACACTCCATAGTAATCGATGCCACGTTTGATGCACAAACAATCGTCGCTGCAAGACATGATTTTTTACCTTGGGATTCGAAACTTCACGTGAAAATACTACATTCCATTTAACGTAGAGATTGTTTAGTTCAACAGAAGAGAGGTTCTGAAAGGATTGTCCGCGGAACACTAACGCGTCGACCATCTTTTGTTTTTCGGCATTTGGGGCTGATATCATGGAAGAAGGACCGTCAGAAAGTAAAAAAGGAAGAAAGTCGATGCATCGTTTCGCAACGATTTTTCAAGTGTTTTCAACAACCAACGCGCCCCTCTCGCCAACCAAATAATATCAACGTTCGTGTGTTAGATTTCGTAATTATTAAACGTCTCGTGTTCTGTATTTATTGTTAAAGACAGAACAATAATTTAACGACTTGCTGGTCAAGTATTCACTAAGAAGGTTTATAATGGATGATTCTGGATTAATTTTAAATCTTGTGCAAAAAGGTGAGATACTAAGTAACAATTCCTTCGTGAATTTCGTGCATTGTTATTTCTGTGATTTTCGATTATGGTAAAATATTGTAAGGCTAATAACGACAGAAACTGAAATATAAGGATGAAATTTTAAACTATTCTTTTAAGCAATCGCTTTTTATCATATTTTGCTTTATTGTACATAAATACATCATTCAACTTTTACGTATGACTTTAGTCGATTTATTTACTATATCCTTCCACGGGGCATTTTGTTGAATATTATTTATATGAAAATTGCTTTAATGTAAAAATTTTTTAAAATCACCATTATTGGTACCAGGTATTAATAATCGTAAAGCATATTTGCGCTGAGGCGGTATTCTTGTTTTTCAAGTAAGAAATAGGATTGCGATTTTCTTTAGAGAAAGTGCAAGATATTTTATTTATAATTTTGTATATATATTTATTCGTCTGTAAAGGAGGTTTACAAATTTATATATGAAAGAATAATTAATATTTGAAAAAGTTATAAACTGAAATATAAGTCTTATATATTTTCATAGTGCAAAAAGTAAGATGCAACAAGATGGCGCCGAATAATATGAAAAACATCGATATTTTAACTTTAATCCGTTGGTATAGATAAGTGATGACAGATGTTTGTATAATCCTAGTACTATGAAGGAATGTTTATAGGACACGTGTATAAAATTTAAATTCAATTGGTTAATTATTTCATCAGATATTATTAAACCACATTCTAAAATATAGTTACGAGAAAAACTTATTTAAGCTTCATTGCAAGTAGCCAAACATCTGCAGCTTCGTTTGTACTTTGTATTTCTTTATAATATACACGATGTTCAGCCAGCCCTGGGAAAAATTTTAATGGGGGCTTCTAGAGGCTAAAATAAGACGAAAATCAAGAATATCAATTTGTTGATGAAGGCTTCGTTAACCTCTTCACGCCCTTGGCCACATATGTGGACGTTTAGTTTTTTTTTTTATAATTTTAGTTACTGTTAATAATAAATAGACTCAAAAAAAGAAAAAAAAAATCGTCCCTGAAGAGGTTAAAAAGTTATTAACGTTTAAAGTTCCGCCAGTACAGAATTTTTTTCTCGAAAATGCGCAGGACTTCGGGATTATGTCTATTCACCAAACATGATTGTAATTGACCTCTGTAACCAAAAATAATTTTTTTAGAACGATTTGAAATTTTTTAATTATCTCGAAAAATTCCACACATTCTCGAATTTTTTTCTCAAATGTCGGTAGGATTTAGGGGGTATATCTATTGACGAAAAATGAGTGTAATTGATTCCCCAAGCTAAAAATAATTTTTTTATAACGATTTGAAATTTTGTTTTCGCCGTAAAATTTATTAGGGGGAAAAACCCTCTGTCGATTTTTTTTTAAATTTGTTTTTCATTATTAATAAATTTGTTTGATGTCCTACAGAAAAGTTGTTTAATACTTTTTTATAGGTATCCATGAGCCTTACTTCAGGAAAAAGTTTCATTGGAATATATTCACTATTGTAGGAGTTATGGCTGTTTGAATATTGGACCATTTTTATGGGGTTTTTCTCACTTTACTTGGTTAAGGATCAGCTTTTTGAATATTTTTGGAATTTCTACATATTCTTCACTAAAATACGCCTTGTTTGCATTTTGAAACTTTAAAATTCTCCAATCCGTTCAGAAGTTATGATGTTTTGAACATTTGCATGAAATTTCGAGGAAGCATTTCTGGCCTCACATTAGATTTTCGGTAAGGAATTTTTTCTCGAAAATGTGTAGGATGTCGGGGGTATATCTATTCACCAAAAATGCTTGTAATCGACCCTCGCAATTAAAAATATTTTTTCCAGAACGATTTGAAATTCTTTTTTCGCCGAAAAATTTAGGCAGCTATCCGAATTTTTTTCTCGCGAGTGCGTAGGATTTCGGAGGTATGTCTATTCGCCAAAAATGATTATAATTGACCCCCGCAATCGAAAATAATTTTTCCAGTTAGATTTGAAATTTTTTAATAACTTTCTCATTGAAGCCTCAATCAAGAAATTGAAATATTCTTGATTTTTGTCTTATTTTGGCCACTACTATCTCCCATTAAAGTTTTTCCCAGGAGTGGTCAAACACCCTGTATAATACGCATATTTTAGATATTACATATTTATTGAAAAACATAGAATGAAAATTTATTATTTTCCTTAAAAAAATATTTCCTTAAAGTTCCTGTCTATTACATAGAAATATGCTTGAAATTTTCTATTGTATTAACGTTTCTTGCTGTTAAAATTCCTGTTCATCGATTATGATATTTTAATTACCACATAATGTTGAAGATGACTCAAACTCTAAGTTGAAATATTTAAATTCATCGATAGTAACACTAATGTATCTTAGCTGCTATTAAGACAGAAGTCGATGGGAACGATACGAACAGCGGCGAACATCTTGATAACAACGACGATGTTCCAAACCTCGATCGACTTTCGATCATCAAAAATTCCTTCTCATGCAATTTAACCGAGAAGCCATGCTACGATTGCAAATGGGAAAAAGCCAAGGAACCGATGTTCAAAGTTGCTTTGAGGACGAGTGACGCAGATTTGGAGGACTATAAGGGGAACGGGTCAAGGAAAAAGATTCGCGTGGAGCCGAAGCAGATTTGCAGTAGCCGGGAGAAGTGTGACGAGGAGGAGAAAATCTTCGTGCTGCAGCAACTCGGTCGATCTCAGATACCTCGGGATGGATTTCCAGCTTTTGTATGCATTGACGGGCGGATTGCCGATCCGAGCGGAGTTAAACGAAAAATTCCAAGACCGGCAAACGCGTTTATGCTCTTTGCCAACGAATGGCGTAAGAAGCTCGCCGCTGAGAATCCTCGGGAATCGAACAAGGACATCAGTGTTAGGCTAGTTTTTTTCACCAGTTTTCATTCATCGATACCGTATCACGATAAGTGGTATTCTTTATTCAAAATATTAACTCGTCTCAGATTGGCAAAGATCAAATTCAAAGGTCATCAATTTTAATAAAATTTTGTGTAAGATTAAATTCTGATTATGAAGATACAGCATCATAAGGGCAGAAACTCAATAGTTTTTTAAATATTTATTTTTTACTTAACGTTTTATATATATTTTAAAGAGTCGTAAGTTTGAAGTTCATCACCAATAACTACCCTGGCCATCAACTTGTTAATATTAGATACAGTACTAGAATATAATTCCTAGCGACCCGTAACAGTTTCATTAAAAAATATTTAAAAATTATATAATATTATACATACAAGGAACATTCCGCAATTGAATCCTTTCTGACTTGGAATTTAAACGCTATTTTTAACCAAGTTACTGATAAATGATTAGATACTTTCATAACAAGGAACGTATATATAAAATATATGTACAACTTATATTATGCATTACAAAATTATTGACTTTATTACTAAATTTCTGACGAATACAATGGCCGTGGTAAAACATCCCAACCAGTTTGCAATAATTTTTGTCCTGTTAAACTAACTTCTTTTTTAAACATGAATGATGGCCATTTCTTTTATCTGGTTGCTTTTAATTTATTCAGTTATGACAGTATCTTTTGCCATTAATTGTCTAGTTACGCAGTAAAAGTTTGTAACAAAGTATCAAAGTACAGTCGTTGAAGCGAACGAACCTATTACACAACTTAATATAAATGTGAATTGAGTATATGATAATGAAGCAAACAAAAGGGTTGCTAAAGTGTTAAATTTAAATTTCTTAATATCACATTGTTTATTAACAATTTTGTTATAACAAAAGGGTAGCAGAGATGGACAAAATTCTTATCTAGATGTACAAGGTGAGGCACGAATTAGTCCCCACGATTTTTTAGCCCCTTTCGATGGTTTAAAAACAAATTGATTTTCGATCAAAAACTAAGGTCACTGTTATATTTTTAGATGAATCTGGGTATTTTTAACTTCATAGTATTGTAGGCAACGTTTGGACGAATTTAAAGACCTGTTACACTATGATCCTCAGATGACATTGAAAGAAAAATTGCTATGAATCGATTGCCACAATATTTGAAATTATTCGGCAATACATAACATTAAGGCCTCCCATTTAGATGTAAACAAATGAACGTTAACATTACGAATGCTCATTTATTCAACTTCAGAACTCAACACACAAAATAAAAGGAAAATGTATACTTAGTGTTATGTATCGCCAAATAATTTCAAATATTGTGGCAATCGATTGATAACAATTTTTCTTTCAACGCCATCTAAAGGTCATAGTGTTGCAGGTCGTTGAATTCGTCTCGACGTCGCCTACAATGGTATGAAGTTAAAAATACAACAGTGACCTCAATTTTTGTCACGTAAAATCAATCACGTAATTTTGCCATGTAAAATCAAATTGTTTTTTTCAAATTTAAGCAAATGCAATTTCTTGTCGGTTAAATACTGATTAATTTCGATAGGGATCAGTTTTTTGTCAGACCATCAAAAGGAACTGAAAAATCATGAGGACTAATTCGTACTTCATCCTGTGTATTTCGAATAACGAATAAAAGAATCGAATGAAAATTTGAATTTTAGTTATTGAATGAATCGTTTTGCAATAAACAAATAAAAATATAATTGTACAATCGAATGAATGTCGTAAATAGTATTCGAATAAAATTTTGCTCATTTCTAGAAGGTGGTTATGTTTTTATCGAACGCATTTTACATTCAATTCAAATTCTTGATCGGGATATTGTACGTGCAGGTTGGGAATCCTTTGGAAGAAAATGGCGAAGGACATGAAGGAAAAATACTTCACCCTAGCTCGCGAAGTGGACGCAGAACACAAGCGGAAGTATCCCGGTATGCACTGTGCCTATAGTCTCTTTTCAACCCTATATGACCTCGTTTTCGCATCTGTAGCGGCTCGTCGGAGTTTATCGATGATGCATGTACGAGGTGTGTAAATTAAGTAATGAAACCGATTTTAAAAAATTTTTTTATTTGAATAGAATTACAATTCAATATTGTCTCCCTCAAAATAACTTCCTTGGGAAGCTATACAGCGCTGGAGACGATTCTTTCAATCCTCATAGCAGTGCTAGAACTCGGATACTGGTATAGCCTTCAGCTAGTCGGTTAAAGCCGCTTCAATGTTTTCGAGTGTCCCAAAATGACGTCCCTTGGGGTGATTTTTCAATCTCGGGAAGAGGAAAAAATCACAAGGACTCAAGTCGGGCGAATAAAGAGGCTGAGGAGCCACAGGAATGTTTTTACTGGCCAAAGACTCATTTATTGAAATTGCTGTGTTACAAGGCGCATTGTCGTGATGCAACGCCCAGTTGTTCTTGATGTTTGGCCTCACACGCATGACCCTTTTTCGAAGTTTTTCCAGAACCTCTCGTTAAAAGTGTTGATTGACCGTTTGGCCTTGAGGCACAATCTGTTTGTAGACGATTCCCTGGCTGCCGAAAAAGCAAATCAGCATGACTTTTGACTCATTTTTAGAATGCACTAAAAACAACTGTTTTACGAAAACAATTGCTACGGACAACCAAGTGGCTCTAGCGGGTACAAACTTGTATCGAAGGCGTATCACATGTTCACCTATCGTCTCTCCAAGTCCCGTGTCCCAAATATTGACAGATCGAACGCCATGTTGCCAGACTCATTACTTAATTTACACACCTCGTATGTTTATGGTATGCGTTCGGTAGGTGCACAATAGCTCGTCGTATCCTAATAAACACAAGAGAAAGAGCAGAGCCTCGACGGACACAACTGTGGAATTGAACAATTTAAATCACGTCTGCTGTCTTGAATCATTGTGCTCCTTATTTGCAATAACTTAACAAACCTTTCGGTAGCTCTGCTCGTGAGTCAAAATAATTTTACCAATTACGAGGGTAACAATAATTCCATAAAATTAGTAATTCAAGTAATCCTTTCTTTTTTTCTGCGTGGTAATTGTCTCTTAATTCTAATAAAAACAGAATTAAACAATAAATATTAGTGCAATATAGGTAATTCTCGATTTCTGAACTTTCGATTTACGAACATTCGCTATAATGAATCGTCAATAGTTATTTACAAAACATAATGCCAATTGCATAGACGAAAAAACTGTAAGATTGAACTAAATAAAAAGGTAAAAAGAGTATTTATTACAATAGTTATTAGAAAATTATTATATGATAAAACTAAAAAATTGTACTTGGCAAATAATATAATATAATAAAATGTATATGGGGTGTTTGGCCATCCCTGGGAAAAATTTTAATGGGAGATTCTAGAGGCCAAAATAAGATGAAAATCAAAAATATCAATTTCTTGATTGAGGCTTCGTTAAAAAGTTAATAAAAAATTAAATTAAAAAATTGCAAATCGTTCTGGAAAAAATATTTTCAGTTGCAGGGGTCAATTACAAGCATTTTTGATAAAAAGACATACCCCCGAAATCCTACGCAGTTTCGAGAAAAAAAAATCCCTGCCGAAAATATAGTTTCTGGCCAGAAATGTCTGCCCGAATTTTCATGCGAATATTTAAAACATCCTAACTTCTGAACGGATTGGAGGATTTTAATGTTTCAAACGGCAAACAACGCGTATTTTGGCGAAAAATATGTAGAAATTCTAACAATATTGAAAAAGTTGTTCCTTGACCCCGTAAAATGAGAAAAACCCCATAAAAATGGTCCAATTTTCAAAAAGCCATAACTCCTACGATAGTGAATATACTTCACTGAAACTTTTTTCTGTAGTAGAGCTCATGGATACCTACAAAAAAGTATTAGACAACTTTTCTGTAGGACGTCACACAAATTTATTAAAAATGAAAAACAAATTTTTAAGAAAAATAGTTGCCTAAATTTTTCAGCGAAAATAAAAATTTCAAATCGTTCTGGAAAAATTATTTTCGTTTGCGGGGGTCAATTGCAATAATTTTTAGTCACTGGACATATCCCCGAAATCCTACGCACTTTCGAGGAAAAAATTCGAATAGGTGCAGAAATTTTCGACAAAAAAAAATTTTTCAAATCGTTGTAAAAAAATTATTTTCGATTGCGCGGGTCAATTACAATCAAAAAAATTTCTTACCGAAAATGTAATTAGGTGCCTAAATTCGACGAAAAAACAAAATTCAAATCGTTCTGGAAAAATTATTTTCGGTTGTGGGGGTCAATTACAATTATTTTTTGTGAATAAAGATACCCCCGAAATCCTGCGCATTTTCGAGAAAAAAATTCAATACGGGCGGAACTTTAAACATTAATAACTTTTTAACAAAGCCTCCATCAACAAATTGATATTCTTGATTTTCGTCTTATTTTGGCCTCTAGAATCCCCCATTAAAATTTTTCCCAGGGGTGGCCGAACACCCTGTATAATATAATATACATAATATAAAATATATAAAATAATATATAAAAGTAATCTTGCTAGTTTAAAAATAAGGATTTGCTCGCAGTGGTGAATAAAAAGTGTGGACTACGAGAGCTTGTGCCCTGTTCTCCCCTATCGATCAGAAAAATCTGATTTTCTACGTATTTTATCAAGAATCGTTGACATTTTTTAATAACGTGCAAAAAACGTAAATATTTGCACGAATGTTTCATTGTTATTATTTGTAGGGATCAAATTTTCAAGTACTCGAATCTTTTTCCGATTTTTAGTTAACCTTTGACTTTTTCTAAATTCGCCTCATTCAAGGATAGACAATAAGCATAAAGAATAATGGTATGAAGCAGAACTCGTTCGTAAATCGGAAGTTAAATAATTAAGTAATTCTTTGGACAGAAAACTAAATCGTAATAAATAATTTGTTGACACAAATATAGACAAGATTTATGCCATTAAATTTTGTATATAATGTGCTATATGTGCTTTACGACACGAGTCGATTTTTTTGAATTAGTTCTCGAGTTATTTATCGATAAAAATCGTGGGTGAAAGGTCCATTTTTGGTTTAAACAGTTATAACTTCTATTTCGAAGTTCAAAAAAATCGCCTGCCAACCAATAGAGAATGTTGTTGAAA